GTGCCTGCCTGAGGGAGCTGGGGATGGTGAGACCCCGCCAGGCACCACCCCCTTCCCCTGTGTTGTCGTTGTTCTTGCTCTTGCTCTTGTTCTTGTTTGTTGTTGCTGTGTGTGGTGCCTGCCTGAGGGAGCTGGGGATGGTGAGACCCCGCCAGGCACCACCCCCTTCCCCTGTGTTGTCGTTGTTCTTGCTCTTGCTCTTGTTCTTGTTTGTTGTTGCTGTGTGTGGTGCCTGCCTGAGGGAGCTGGGGATGGTGAGACCCCGCCAGGCACCACCCCCTTCCCCTGTGTTGTCGTTGTTCTTGCTCTTGCTCTTGTTCTTGTTTGTTGTTGCTGTGTGTGGTGCCTGCCTGAGGGAGCTGGGGATGGTGAGACCCCGCCAGGCACCCCCCCCTTCCCCTGTGTTGTCGTTGTCATTGTCGTTGTTCTTGTTAGTGTTCTTGAAGTTCTTGCTCTTGTTCTTGTTTGTCGTTGTTGCTGTGTGTTGTGCCTGCCTGAGGGAGCTGGGGATGGTGAGACCCCGCCAGGCACCCCCCCTTCCCCATTGTCGTCGTTGTCGTTGTCGTTGTCGTTGTTCTTGTTATTGTTTCTGCTCTTGTTCTTGTTTGTTGTTGCTGTTGCTGTTGCTGTTGCTGTTGCTGTTGCTGTTACTGTTACCGTTGCTGCAGGTTGAGCAGCTTTTCCAATCTCACGGTCACCGCGGCAAGAAGTGAGTGACGTGACGTGCCGGATAAATCGGCAATATTTGCCACAGTGCCACAGTGCCACAGTGCGCCTTGTGGGAATGAGGGGGCATTGGACTCACTGGACTCACTGGACTCAGCCGATTGCAATTAGCAAGAAACATGCTGCGCCCAGCCGCCCGTGCAACTGGTTTCAGGGCTGATGATTTCGGGGTAGGGTAGGTAGGTTAGTAGGTAGCAGAAACTAGGAACTAAGAGCTGACATTGAGAACCTCACTTCACTGCCACCCTTGTTGGTTAGACTTCAAGGGGGCCATGTGTGATCTGATTCTCGCCCAAGTAATGCCAAACATCTACCGCGCAAGTGTGCCCGTGCGACTGGTTTCAGGGTTGACGATTTCGGGCTAGGGTAGGTAGATTGTAGCAGAAATTAGGAACTAAGAACTGACACTGAGAGCCTCACTTCACTGCCACCCGCCCTTGTTGGTTAGATTTCAAGGGAACCATGTTTGATCTGATTCCTCCCCAACTGTAACGCCGAACACCTACCGCACAAGTGTAGGCAGGGGTAGTTGACTGGGGGTTTACTTGATTAGCAAAATGAAGCTTGGAGTTTAAAACTTCTGACAGATAAGATCTCGTTGCAGTCAAGTTGGCAGGCGACAAGGAAGCAAGGTATGCTGGGGAGGGGAAGGAGCATGGACAAAAACCAAGTTTCACAAATTGCTTGAAACCGGGCTTGTATATTGGTTTTGCATATGTATAGACGTGTTTTTACCTGAATCCTGCGTGTCAATAGTTGACCAAATTCACCCGTAACCCTAGGAAACCTCAACGGAAATAGTAGTGACAAGCGCCCGTCTTACACCTGCAAAAGAAGATTTCCTACCAACTAGGACATTTGTGTGATCATGTGCATTAAAAGAAGAGTCTCAAGCCAGTCGTAGTGCACAAAGTGCTCAGCAAAGACTGAAGATTGATCTTGCATGCTCGATCCTCGATTTCCTCCCCTGAAAAGTGGCCCAATGGCGGACGTCCCAAGGCCGAACCTAGGCTAAGCAAGCCGAGCGCCAGGCTCGTTCAAAGGGGCCCAGCGGCTGGCCTGGCAACCTGGCGATGGGAGACAAGTCGAAACAAATTCCTCGTGTTGGTTTTGCATCGATCTCCCAATCTCCGCATCGGCAATGCTTGAAGGGAAGCGATCGTGTGTCACAACGACAGACTGTGAGTCACATGGCTTTGAATCTGCACACCCCTTGGCGTGACCTTTTGAACAGGTATCTCCTGTTTAGACAGAGGCAACTACAGGTCAAAATCGAGCTCATGCTGCTTTGACCAAAACAACTACCAAGTTCAACACCCGTGTCGAATCCTGTGGTGGGAAGACCGTCCGTCTCCCTCCACGGGCGCTCATGCGCGCCTTCGGAGGCCTAGATGCCCTTGCACTCGACGGGAGGTGGCCTCTCGAGTCAGCTGCTTGGGCCCCTAAACAACAAATGGCTTGCTGAATCCTGTTGAAGCCCGGCCATACGTTGCAATGAAAGATGGCTAGCATGCCTTCAGGCTTCTTAAGGACGCATCTCTACCGGTGGCGCCATAGAGCGGCCTTCTTGGCATGCATGGAATCCGCGATAAAACCAACCAAACAGCTTGGTCAAATAGCATGTTGGGTCGTCCCGTCCCCAAAGTGCACACAGTCATCCCTTTTAATGTGATCCATTTAGATCATGGTTGGCCACTCCAACGCTCATCATGGAAACCTGCAGGAAGCATTTCTAGAGGGAGTTTCCAAGTCACCAAGTACGTCGAGTCACCACAAAATATGCTTGAACCTGCTCAAGAAACAAAACCATCGGAAACCAAAAAACGAAAAAAACAATGAAGAAGAAAAAACGCAAACAGCTCCGAACAACTCCCATGACGGGGCCATTCGAGCAGGCAAACTTCTGGGAGCCGGGCGGCTCCCCGGTGCGCGTTCCCGGAAGTTGCGGACCTGCGAAGGGCGCCAAGCAGCTCGCCGCCAACTCATGTGGCTCGAGGTCGGAGCACATCTGGTGCCAGTGGACCAAAACCAACAGCCCGCCAGTCACTGAGTCAGGCGCCGCTTTTTTCCTGGCTTCCGGGCTTTCCTTTGGGCTGTCTGCAACCGACTGGGACAAGTCCCAGGTGCGGTGGGCTGTGGCTTTTGTCGTGGTTTCGCTGTGGGCCTTCTTGTTTCTTCAAACCAGGCTGCTCCTGCTGCAAAGAATAGCCTACCTCCAAACATGCGGATTTACTATGTGCTTGTATCTGAGGGGGCATAACTTTCCCCAAGAACCTGGTCTCGCAAAAGCCCCTTGCTTCAGGCAATCACCGCACGCCCTCGTCCAGCTCTTGCCCCCATCCCCTCTCAGGCCGCCGCAAGCCCTGCGGATCCAACCTGGGCAGCGATGGAACTGCAGAACAAAGCACAAAAAAATGGTCGATAAAGTCGTCATCCCAAAAACAAGCCAAAGCCAAAAGCATTTGAGGTAGTTGTCTGTTCAAGAGATGTCTTGGAGCACCTCCCTCAACGGATGGAATAACTCACGAGCAGAAATTAGCTGTCTGTGACATCAAAGTAGACCCTCCCTATGGCTACTCTGTCACTTTAGAAGGACAGACAATTGCAACTTCTGGCTCGGAATAGCAGCTTAAGACACATGTCGAGGCCATTGGTCAGATCCGAGGAACTGGGCAGCGTATGCGCACCCACCATCCTCCAACCAGCATCTCTCGGGGCCAGGCTCCCAAAGAGGCCGGGATGCCAGAGACAGCGGCCACTTCTGCTTGCTTTCGGCCTCAAGAGCTTGCTTTATCCGCGGATATGCCTGAATAACCCCCCTCCCCATGTCCTGGGCCGACCTTTGATCCAAGCATTGACGCTTGTTCACCATTCAACGCCGTGGAAATACAAAGGCAACCGAGAACAAGATGTGTATATGTGCACGGAGATGTGTGTATGTGTATGTGTGATTATATATATATATATATATACATATTGTACATACATACACACACAACATGTTGTCATTTCCCAGAACCGCTGGCGGCAGGCTGCGGCTTGCAACTTCTAGAAAAAGCGCTCCTCACGAACCCCGAAAAACGCGCGGGGGCCCCCGCCGCAGAAAGGTCCTCAGGTGTGGTGGCCAAACCCTGGCGCAAAGTGGGAGTGCCCCAAGCGAGCGGGGGCAACCCCCCTACACGGGGCTGTCCTCAGATACTCAAAAGTTGTTCGCTTTTAGTGGGTCAATTGAAACTACCACTACACCCTAAAAAGCTAAACACCTAACAAAATGGCTGGAAACGGACACTTAGAAGTTCCTGTTACGGTTTGCAGACTGACACCTTGGAAAGAACCTACCCTAAAGGTGGTTGCAATAAGCCCAAAGTGTTCACCATGCGGAACGTGCTCACCCCCCTGTTTTGACTCCCTTTGGCAGTCAATTTTGTTGAGCTCTTGTACATCTTTATCCCTCCTTCTTCAAAAACCAAAGAGTTCTTGTTTGAACCTCTACTTCTGTGTGTCTTTTAAGCTCCCCGCAGCAATGTTCTTTGGGTAAGCTCCCTCCTTATGCTGACCCGGTCCCACAGAAGCGAGGTCCCCATAGGTGTGGGTGGCAAGTGTGCCTAGAGGCATGCGGATTTGACAGACGATAGTTTTTGTTGGCCTCAACATACAAACCTATTACAATAAATGATACGCTATGAGGACATCTTTGGAAGACACCAATTGGCCTAAAGTTGTGGTCGAGCGATTCTGGGAGGGATGTCGCTCAGGAACTTTTGCATCGACCAACTTCTGGGGCCCATTTTGCCAAAATTACCAGTCAACAGAAAGGCCAAATGGAGCGAAGCCGAGATCTTTTGTTTCCAATTGGGAAAACGGGGCCCTTGAAAAAGGTGAGGTTTACATTTGCGCCTCCTTGAAAGAACTCAGTGGACAAACGAATGGTGTGGTGGTAATAATTTGCCCGCGTGCGCTTTTCGGGCTTGCGGCAAAGCCCGCCTTCTGGAAAGGAAGCGAAGCAGCCGGTGGCTGCTTGGGGGCCTACCAGAGACCCAGCAAACCAGGCCGTTGGTATGGGATGACGCCAAACCGTTGGAGTCGGTGTTGACGCGCCCACATGCCATAAGACAACCCAAATGGGTCCAACGGCCAACCTACTTGGTTGTCCCAGCTGCGTGACCCCAATGACATACATGGGCGGCAAACAACACGCAGGAACCAGCAACCCTGGGTGCCATCGTTTGCCCCATGCAACGCTGGCAGTTGCATCACTCGGCGCAGCCTTTTCTCCTCTAAATGCTCGATCTACTGCCAGCTGAGGTTCGGGAACCGCACAGGACTTTGCCCACAGGAAACCCAGTCACCACCAGCCACGCCATTGGACGTGCCAGCTTCTGGGTACCTGGAAAATAAGAGCACCTGGAAAATGAGGCCATGGAGCCATGAATTCGCGACGCCTCCACGTCTTTCTTGCTGCCAGGGACAGGTTTACCCGTTTTGGCGCCTGCACGCGCCAGTCCTTGAAAACCCGCACAGTCCTACGGCTCTCACGGGATGCCGAGCCTCCGATTGATGGTGCAAGAGCAGGCCCAAGAGACAAGACATGTGTCATGGTCAAGACTCCTTGAAAAAACGATTGTCCATAGTCCTCTCACTCGGAATCCTTGCCCTCTGGAGAGAATTCCCCATATCCACGGGTTTTGATGCTTTTTCCTCAACCGAAGGAGACCTCTCTGATCCGGTCTCCCCCAGCCAAGCGACTGCGGCACACTTTCTTCTCTGGATTCCTTCAAGGTGGGGATCCAAGGATGAGCTGCTTTCGGGCGGCCTTGTGAGTTTCCCTTAAGTTTTCCTTGGTCTCAGCGGCTTCCTTCCTCAACGCTCGCAAGCATCTCCTCACGTTGCCAGGCGGCTCACCGAGCTGCTTCGTCTGGGCGCTCCTTACGCCGGGCAGGCGACTCGGCTCGATGACTTCGTGATACACCCGTGCGCTTTCACGAACGTCTTGGCAGCATGGGTCACACAACCCCCAAAACATGGTGCTTTGGATGACATGTTGCGTTCCAGTTTCAATCGATCGCGGCAAAGCGAAGCGTGTCAAAGAGGCAGTGAGTGGCCCGTTGTACTTCTCTTGGGGTCCTCTTTCAACGGTCAGAGCCAATATCGGTCGAGTCACCGAGTGATCCTGCATCACAAACTCGGAGCTTGTCATGCTGGCCTTCCAGGGAGCGATCTACTGATTTGTTGTCCATGCCAGATTAATACGGGCGGTGTTCCCTCAAAACACTTAGGGGGGCCGGGGGGGGAGGAGGCAGGGGGAGGAGGCAGGGGGCATCCCCCAAGACCATCAACCAGAGGCCTATTTCTATCCCGGGTCTCCATGCAGTCTTTCTGAGGCCTTAAGGCTTCGCATGAATGGACTTCTGATAGTCATGAGAGTTCCAACAAACCAATAGTTCGGGGAGCCAATTGAAAGACGTGAAGAAAAAGCAAGAAGCCAAAAATGGGTGTCTGAGCCCAGGCACTCCCGTCCCCAGCTTTCTCTTTCCGCACAGCTATCTTCCCTCTCCCCTTCGCCCGCCTCCGGATCCCACACCTCCTCACAGGGGGCTGACTGGGCTCACGGGCGTGTCAAAAGTGGCGCTTGGTCCAATTTCAAAGGCAGTCGGCGTGTTGGTCCCAACTTCCCTCTCCAACCTCAAGTTTGACAGCCCCGAAATGTCTCACGCGCCCATGCAGGACCACCGCAGCAGCTACGGGGTGACTACAGTTCATTCAACTCCTTTCTTGGAGGCGTTGTCAAAAGACGTAAAGGAAACGCATTCGAACAATGCAAAATCAGAGCCACATGTGGTTTTACACCTGAGGAAACCTGGGAACCCCAAAGAGCTGGGGGGTCATATGTGACCATGGGTCAGAATCCCGCACCCCCAAAGAACATCCCAATCCCACTAAAATAGGCTCTAAAATGGGTGGTGCACCTTCCCCAAAATGGGTCCCTGGTCATCCCTACGCTTCACGTCCATGATTTTATCCTAGGATACGCAATGTACATGCCACATGCCTTGATGGTGTCGGTGACCTTGACTTCGGACAGCTTTTCCACCGCTGCGAAGAGACTCCGCCGTGTGCCGAAGAACCCAGATGTTTCTCTTAGGCGAATTCTCTTAGGCGAAATTAATGACATTCTAGTGTGTTGGGGTCAGCTACCCAAAACCCAAGCCGCTCCTCGCGTTCCTCCCCACCCGAGCTGGACGCCTCTGGTGCTCGCAGTGCCTCCAGCCTCAGGCTGGCCCTTGGAGCGTTCGGTTGCTTCCAGTACAAAGAAATACACCAAAACCGCACCTTTGTGGTGTGCTTTCTTTGAGGGTGCCCCCTGTGGTTGGTGTGAAAGGGAAACCAAAAGGAAAACCAAAAGGAAAACCACCAATTTTGGGGCTGCCCCCCTAGCTCTTTGATTCTGAGCTCCCAAATGGCTTCCTTTGGATCATTGGATCCGCCTCTCGTATGCATTGGATCTGCCGCTTCTGGTTTCATTCGGTATGAACTTCGGTTGGTTGGACCCTTGCAGCAGACATCTCCGTATGGATTCCGGTTTGGAAAAGCCCAGGTGAGTTATTTCAAGTCATTGACCGACAATTGGGACATGTCGGCAAGAAACATTCTTCATTCCGGTCGCAAACCCGGGTGAGGTCACCATGAGTCGCAGCTAGGTCCCAAGGAGTTTTGCGCAGAAATGGGGTCCAAAAGGCTTGGAAAAACGATGCAGGGGCAAGGCCGAGCTTTGAAAGGGCTTTGCCGCAATCTTTGCATGGACCTGCTTGAAAACCTAAATCACGGAGAGCTTTGACCAGAAAAATGTGGTGCAGTCAAGAGGGCTCATCTAAGTTTCTCTCAGACGCGAAGTCAAGCAGCCAATCAACTGCAGAGTTGACGCACTCAAACCCTCTGGTTCCGTTGTTGTTTTTCCATCATCGCAGCGGAATCATGAGCTAGCTCCTCTTTTTTGCACAGCGCAGATGATCCATCTGCATCTTTGTGGGCCTCCTTGTGGGGCTGCCCTTTTCCACGGTTTCATAACGGTACATGTCCGGCATGGGTGCAACAAATCTAACTTGAAACTTCGGCCACCGATTGAAAAGGAGTGTTTGAAAGGGACAACTCTCAAACCGCCAACCGAGGCGCATGGAGTCAGACCTCCGCCGAGAGTTGTTGAAGAGCGAGGCCACAAAAGAGTGCGTGCGCACACGCTCCTCGCTGACCCCGGTCACTCGCTGCGTTGCGAACAACTTCTCACAAAGCCGGGCTCTTGGGGGGGGTTTTACAGCTGAAATGCTAGTTGGCACCAATGTGGGGCAGCAAAGGCTGCATGATTCGCCAAACACGTTCCCATTGACACGGCTCCAGTCTCAAAATTGACACCGAAGAAGTCGGCGAACTGCCTTGGCTGTTTATTGAACGAACAGCTTCTGAACCTGAGACTCATATCCTGAGAGGAACAGCCTCTCCGTGTGCACGTGCATACTCTATACTTGACCATATATATATATATACACACACACGTGCACGAACACCTCCCATTGCTTGACCGTGGCCCGAAAAGATTGTGGCAACTCCGTGTGGCTTCCTAAGCACAAATTGCGGCAGATCGCATCTGGTTAAACACCAGCTGGACCAAGACAAGAGCTGAATCGTCCAGGTTTGCTTGTAGAATCAAGTGGGGCACGAGCACCTTTTCGCGCATGCAACCGAATCAGAGCTGTAGCAAGGGGAGCCGTGCGTAATAAGGTGACCGTGGGGGATGTCCCAATAAGGACTGCATAGGGAGCATTGAATCTCCTCCTCCCGTCCGTTCCCATGGCTCGAACCTGAACCTGGGTATGATTTAAGATTCGGAATCATCTGGTGTAACTCACGGAAATTGCCCACCAACCCTTTTGGAGGATGTTCCAAACATGGAACAAAGCATGCGTCTCTCCAAGAGGCTTGATTTCATTGTGGGTTTCCCTTTAAGACCCCCCCCCAAAGCACGGGGATCCTCAAGTTTGAGGCATGCGAAACCGAGACTTTGCCCGAGCGTCCATGGCGGCGACCGCCACGTCAGCCGCCATGCCGCCATGCCGGAAGCGCGCCGCCTGAAAAGTCGGGACTCGGGACCCGCGCCCAAAAATCGCGTGTCTTGAAACGGGAAATGGCACCCCCAAAATCGAGGGCCTTCCCAAGTTCCCGTTAAACACCACCAGAAAGGAGATCCTCACACAAAGACACACGCACACATGCACCCAGTGGTAATCACCTGCTTGAGGGTTGATGTCAAAAGAAGACACCTAGTTTAGGGTTTAGGCTGCCTTGAAAGCCAAAAAGGGTCTTCCAAATACCTTCAGCCTCCATGTTCGGAGAGGGGGTGCTCTGCTCCCTTGTTCGCATCACTGCAACCGATCGTATTCCGATGTGCTACTGCTCATAGTCAATGATCTACTCTGTCTGCTTTCTTCAGACCTAGCGCCATCCAACAAGACAAGAACGCTTCGCCCGGGGCCTTCCTCCAGCGATGCATGGGTTCCTTCGAAAGTGGACGTGGTTGTTCAGGGTCTTTTTGGTTGCTTCACGGGGAGAAGAAAAAAAACAAACACAGGCCTCTAGTCCAATGCTCCGCCATTTGGAGACAAGAAGTGGCCCATGGTTTTGGTTGATCGCCGCAAAGCATTGGATAGGACTTGTAGATGGTTTCCGTAGGCTTCCTTTCACAAGATCCATGCAACATCAGCTGGGGAAATCCATCTCGCGGCTGAAACTTTTTGAAGGGCCGACTTCATCGGAAGCCTTTGGGCTGGCGACTTCCGAACTGGGCATCAACTCGTGGCCCAGCCGCTCGATACGGCTCGCTGTTTGGATAGTCCAGCATGTGCCCGACTTTGCCGGACTTGAGAAACTTCAGGAAGTTCTTCTTGGATAGAATGCCCTGACAATGCCAGACTCCAAGAAGGGCAATGACAAGGAACTCTTGCAATGCTCCGAAACTCTTGAAGGGTTGCCTACTTGGTTCCCGCCGGATGTGGGGGCTCCAGACCAACCCCTGCCAAAAGGTCGACCTCAATGTGTTCTGAGTCAGACGGGCCCTCGGCCCAGAAACTGGACGCCGCTCTCCGCCGCTTCCTATATTATACTGCCGGAGGGTTCTTTAACCTGTCGCACAAACAAAAAAACATCGAAGCCCACTGAAGCAGGCATGACAAAACTATCCAAAGAGGCCGTGATGGAATGAAGCCCGTACCGATTGTTCACTTTACACACCAACCGGCGCTGCCAATCTGGTGCGCACTGAAACCGCCGTGAAGCCAAGGGTGTGGGCATGCACCTCCAAGCCCCTTCCGGCCTGCAGCACGTCCTGCGCAGAAACCCCCAGGGCCCCCCACCAGGTGACCGGAACGAAGCCCCCCCAACTTATAGGCTGTGTGTGGGAAACAGGTGGAATTCGGTGGTCGAATCATTCGAAGATCCAAGCGGAGGATGTTGGGTCTACATTTTTGGGAGGATTCCAGAGCTTTGTGGTGGCCACGTCAAAGGTGACCAACATGATTTGCCAACCATTGGGAGTTGACTCATGGCTTTCAGATGCAAGAAAGGCAACCATGTTTTATGACTCCTCATTTTCCAATGCCACTATTCCCCCTCGGATTGCCCGAGTTTACCGCGAACGGAACACCTAAAGCGTGGCTGAGGTTTAAAAAGAATCACAAGAGAACCCAAAAAGGCAACAGCACGTCGGGAATGCAGTTTTCATACACTTCCCATTTGAGCCGGCTCCATGCCAAATTCCTTGTGCCGGGAAAAGGGAACCTGCATTCTTGGCGCGCCTTACCATCCCTTTGAGGACACCCCAAAGGTGAGCTGTGACTTCGAAAACTGCCGTGACACTTGTAGCCATTTCAGTTTCAGCCAAACAAGGATTTCCAGAATCGCGGCGTTCCCTGCCAACCAAAAAAAACGACTACCCAAACCCAAAATCGACTACCCAAACCCAATCGCGGCTTGCTTTCCCGACCCAAAATCGACCCCTCGGACCCATGGCTCCCACCACCCTCCTGCGTGGTCCCGCGTCGCGAGCCCACCAGGAAGATGAACTTGCAGCCCAGCTGCTTGAAGACGCGGTGCGCCTCGCAGAGTCGGCGAGGCGAACCCATTGATTTGGGGCCCCGCTTGGGTGGAAACCCAGCAAAATGGGCTGTTTTTGAGAACCAATTGCTTTCTTTTAGGGTGTTTTCGGAAGCCAAAACCCAATTTTGGTTGGTTTTCCAGGGAAACAGTCTTGACGAGTTGGAAAGCCTCACACCAGCCTGCGAGAGAGGAGCGTCGGGGGACATTCTCATCACTGCACTGTCCTCGGATCGCAGGTGCGGAGCTTCAGTCCATGTCCGCAAGGGAAACAGGATATGGGTGTGAACTTTACGTAAAACCTTTCGACATATCCACCCACCAATTGGGAGGTTCCCTATTGACATTCATAGTCGTATCTGATCATGAATCATAGTGACATTGCAACACAGTCTTGCAAATTCAGGCTGATGCCCAAAACTCCCCGAACTTTGACCCACAGCCACACCTGCCTTGGACATGTGCATTGCCATGTTGCAAGAAAAGAGATGGCCACACATGATCTTTGATCCTACCACACCCAAGACCCCCTAGCAACGCAACGCCACCCCTCAAACCCCGAGCCGCCTCACCAGCCTGTTCACCAAAAAACAAAAGGCCCCAACGCTCCCCACCCCATACCCTGTCTTCCAAGGGGCCACCACTGGCAAGAGCTCTTCTTCTTGCACCACTTCCGCCTCACCGCGGCCCAGGGTCGTCAGGTGCCCTGGGCCGGTTCACTTTGACTAAACTCGTGGAGTGGCGAAGCCCGGGATTTAGTTCAAAGGGAAGGGTTGACCATGATAACGGCTGGATCTGGTTTCTATGCTCAGTTACCAAGCACTGATTTAGATGAGGTCTAGAAATGTCCCTATTCAACATCCAGCTTCTCATTTACTGCCTAACGGGAAAAGCCAATTAACCAAGGTCCCCAATTGCAGGACACGCCCAAATCGTGACCGTCCCACAAACAAAGTATCCAAAGGACACAGGCTCCCCTCACAGGTGGCAAAAAAAGGCCTCTGCACCGTGCACCCCCCCCCGTTAACACAAGGCTGCCAACTGCTCGAGGGAAGCTGAGCCATGCCGATAGGTTGGTCGATGCTCCATGTTGTCTAACAAGGCCGAGCTATAGCGCCTCATCATGGGGGGCTGGGGAGGGGGAGGGAGCCCAAACAAGCCCCAAATAAGGCCTTGATTTAGGGCTTATTTGGGCTCCCTCCCCCTCCCTTCCCTCCCCCTCCCTTCCCCCCCCGCCCCCATGAGTTACGCTTGACCAATGTCCGAAATGTCCTGGGTCTTCTCCAACAGACTTCGGACTCGTTCTCCCCCGTAGCCGCAGTCAAGCAGTCAAGTGGCCCAGCAGATCACGGAGATGCTCCCGCTTGACATATCCCACGAAGCCTTCGTCGCTTCACTGCGCCCCCGAGGAATGGCCTTGTTGGGACCCCCAAACACACCTCTGCCACACGCACCCACCCAAACACACACCCACACAGCCACACACACACACAAGTGGTCTTCCACCAATGAGGAGGGCACCTATCAGTGGTTGGGGGAATACAAGACTTGCAAACACCATTGCTTTGGGCGGGCCTTGGCCTGCTTCCAATGAGAAGCGAGACAGAAATGAAAGCGTCTCGACAGGGCAATTGCCGCAGTTGGATGGTTCAAGGGAGATGTCTGTCACCCTGCAGCATTCGTCAAAGCTGCTGTCGCCCTTGACCACCGGATATCCGCGGAAGTGGAAGTTCTGCACCAGCCAGGTCCTCGCAAGTCGGAAAGGCCAGTGTCGAAACGGGCGCCTCCCTTCGTGGTGAGGTTGCGATTCACGTAAAGCTTGCAGGGCGCTGGCTTCCAACGCACTAGCTCTCTCCAAGGGGCAGGTCAGCAACAGTTGGTTGCAGACCCATGTCCAGCTTGGTCAAGCCTGGCAAGCCGCATTTTGATGCCTCCCATGGAACACTGGCGGCATAACTTCAGTCTTTGTTTGACTCCCTGGAGCAAAGGGGTGGTCCAACGCCACCAAGCCAGAGGCCAACAAACAAGCAAATCCCTTCCACCAGGGCACTCAAAATACTGCGCGTGGTTTTAGATCCTTGCTTCGGGCGGAAACATTAAACCACAATAGGTCCCGACATTTGAGCAACTTCATGGTTGATCCCCCTTTCAGAATTTTCAAAAGGGCCACCAAAAGGAAGTCGCCTATTGTACGGCTTCCCATCTTAGGAAACACCCAGGTGATGACGCCAATTTGTGGATCCCCCCATTTTGAGACCAGCGGATCCCACGATGCCTGTCTCCATGATGTCGCAACATCTCCTTAGCACAGGCTACACAACGCCAAGCAACGCCCAGAACGAAAGTCCCCATGCGCAACACTCCGGGCTTGAGGTTCGACCCTCGGTGCCCACTGCAACAAGGGTCCAAGGCCCATTCACCCCAAGTTCCCTAGAAACGGGACAAAAAGGACGTCTCTCCATCCGTGCAAGACGCTCTGTGAAGGTCACATCCAGGTCTTCCTGAAGGAACCTCGGCTTCGGTCTCTCAGTCCCGGAAAAAGAGGGGCCGATGCGAAGGTTCGCGCGCTCGCTCAAAATGCAGCAAGGCAGCGGGTACCCCTTCAGAACTATGTACAGGTCGTAGATGCCTGTCCCACGAGAAATCTCCACCCGGAGTCTAAAAAAGCAAAGCAAGATGCATGCTATGGCACTCCTTGGCATCACTTGCGCACTCTGGCCTTCATTGAGAGTGTCTCCAACCTAGGTGATGCAAACATCGTAGACAACGCACAGGGACACGACAAAGTGCCGATGTCAGTGCCAAGCTGAAACGACCCATAGGTGCGTCTTAGCAGCCAGCTTCGCAATGAGAACCTTTCGCACAGGCATCAGTCGCCCAAGGTTTGTTTTGCCTCTTGAAAACTGAGTTGGAACCCCGCAAACAAAAGTAGAGGATCTCCCGCAGGCTTGGACCCCTTTCTTCGGCTCGCATCTTGATTCAGGGAGCTGCCACTGCAATTTCCCCACCCACCCCCCTCCCCTCCCAGCAACTCAACCCCTGGGCCCTGTGTAGAGGTGGCTGCATCAGTACTTGACAAAGTGATGCTACAAAATAACCCCCCCCGCTCCCCCCCCCAACAAAAAAGCGACCAGCACGACACAGTGTAATTTGCGCAAAGGCCACGAAGCCAGCGCTTCGCCATCAACAACTGGGTGTGGGTCAAAAATAGGAACCCAAACTGAAACCCTGGTAAATGCAAACAAGGACCAAACCTGTGGTCCCCAGGTGGTTTGATTTTGACCTATTCCCAACTTGGATCCAGGCTGGTGCCACTGTTTCCAGAAACCTTCCCAATGCTACTTTCTTGCAAGGCTTGCGTCGCTTGAAGGTCTGCTCCCTAGTTCTTCCCACACCCATATGGCTTCAAACATCTCATGTGGACCATGGGTAACTGTTCCCATGTGGTAAAAGTCATCCATCTTTTTGGGTTGGTGTCCATTGTGCGGACCTTTCGAGATCAACCGAATCCGTGCAGAAGCCCCTCGCAGAGCACCCAGTCGAGGAGCCGCGATCATGAAGGGCACGATGTAGGTCATGCCACCAGTGAGCTCCAGCATGATGGCCACCAGGGAGATGGTGACCCGGCAGACCTCGCATCACCCGTGGTCCTATGACTTGGCAGGTGCTCAGAATCAACAGTTTGGGAATGAACCCAAGGGAGCACAAGGCTCATGGGAATCATCTCCACAAGTCTGTGGGCATTTGCCATGTGACACCACTGCACTGGAATGCCTTCCCAAGGACTGGTTCCAGCCAACATCCGGCGGCTAGGCAAAAAACCAGGGATCCCCAGAAAGGAAACCACAAGGGATGGTTTATTGTCGGGGTCATTGCATTTCTCATTCCCTGAGCATCGGCAAGATGAGCCTTCTGGTTTGGGTGCCTTGAAAACCGCTCTGAGTCGGCCCACGCCCCCTGCAGACAAAGCGCGCCGCCCAGGACGGCGGCTGCCCCCACCATGGCATACCTCAGGCGCGCCCGGGCGCTCGGAAAGGCGTGGAGCGAACGGGAAACCACACCCCCTTCTTGGGTATCCCCTATACATTTATCAGGCTGAGGGCCCAGCCTTTCAATGTTGCTGGACATGAATCCAATCCCAGTCTCAGAAATTCGCAAGAGTGACCACTTGGGTGGTGCATCCTGAGAGCATTACAGGGAAACCACCCACCCAGCGGGCAGAATTGTGGAGACGACCCCCTCAACCCACCGGCCCGTCGAGGCACACCCCAGGCTCCACGCTGCGCGGGAAGAGCTGTTGCTCGTGGTTCATGGCCTCCCAGCGAACGTCCAAAGGATCCAATCACATGGAAGTGCGCAAACACCCACATGGAAGACTACCAACACTACCAACCTTGGGAAAAAGAGTTCCTGCGCATGTCCGTGTTTCTTGGGAGTGCTAAATTGGCACCTCAAAAAGAGTATCGGAATGTGCAAATTATGAACATCCAGGGCAACCAAAAAGACAAAGATCCTAAAGGATCCCAAAAAGCAAGCAGCTTGCGAAAAGGATCCAAAAAGTGCAAAAGTTCAATCCCGTGCCCCAGCGCGTTCAGGGAGCCGAGTCCTGCTTGAAATGCCCGTTCACACAGCGGTTGGACTAGGCTGGCTACAAATATGATGAGAAAATATGCGCTTGCTCAACATCTTCCAAGAAGGCGCAAAACCCAGACCTCTAGGCAGGAACCTGGCCCTCGAACCAGACGGTGAGGCGACGGAAGGAGAGAAACACTCTCCCTCTGGCGGCTCTGCTTGGAAAGTGAACAGCGATAGCGATAGCCAGACCCCAGCTGGAAGAGAATCGAAGCTCAACCATGGCGTGGTTAGGCGAATGTGGCTGTGTCAAAAGCAAGCCCCCACCACGCTGGTTTTTTTTTTCCACGGGCAACTGAGGACACAAGCCAAGATGAAACCAATCGTGATCCAAAAAACCTTCCAATTGGAACCCACGATCGGAACCTTAAGTTGGAACTGAACTCGAACTTGCCACCCATTTTGAAACTGCTTTTCGGGTCGGATCGATCAGTTTCCGGCCTGCACGAGGATGCCCACGAGCCGGCCCAGGGCAGCGCCGGTGAACAGGGAAGGCACAAAGAGGCCTGGGAGTTTCTCAAAACAGTGGCCCCTAAAATCGTTGTTTTCCTGTTGGGCTCCCTGAAAACTTCCTTTTTGAGGGGTCCAGAATTCTGGGAAAACCGCAAGCCGTTTTGTGCTCTGAAATTCAGTATACATTGGAAGAGCCGATCAAAGCTACCTCCATCAGGATCACTGACGGTCCCGACCCCTGCTGAAGGGGAAGTCTCGACTCCACCTTGGATCACTGATTATTTACTACTCATATCATGGTATACGTATGTTTATATATATATATACAGACGGTTCATACTCTGGACAAAGCCTCAAAAACAAAAAACAATGTCAAGGATCTCCAGAAGGGCTACATCCTAGAGTCAATACTATTCTACCATAATTATTTTCAGAACTGCGAGGTGCTTTAGGGCGGACATTCTATCCACCCTTATCCGATTGTTTTACTACTTTGTCACCGTCAAGTACAGGAAATCGTATGGTAGGATTATTGCTATCTGGTATCTCTGTACATCTTGCATCTCTCAACTTTTGGACAACAATTCTACATCTGAGATCGTATTCTCACATTAAAGACTGCCGATTTATTCCTCTGTTTCTCGTTTGCAGTTTTCATGACTTTATATGCGCGTTACCTATCTTATCCGCTACACGTCCTTTAATGCTGGGTGATCTTCATTCTAATACACGTTTCTTTGATCCCATATTTGGAGGAGATTCTATACTCTATCAACATAGGTTGTGAAAGTATTGGAAATCCACAGGTTTGTATCTCAATAATTCCTGCGCATGTGGGGTCATGTTCATGAGATGTTCTGGATCTTAACAGTTAACAATATTGCTAAGCAATCAATGATTTTTGCCATGCCATCTAGGTGTCTTCTTGGGAGCCTTGTTTTGGGACATCAAATGTATACCGTAGGTTAAGAAAGTGATACAAAAGCTTCTTTTACAGGAGTTGCAATCTTTGCCAGCTGGTACAAACATATCTAATTGGTGTTTTGCATCTCTCTCCAATCCATCTTTACAACACCTTAGAATTACTTCCGCTTCTTATTTCTTCTCTTATGAATTAATGTTTACTATATATGGGTCAACAGGAATAATTCTAGGAAATGCTGCAGTGGATCTAGGATTGCATGATACATACTATGTTGCACCACATGTTCATGGGGTTCTTTTTTTAAGAGCTGTTATCTTCTCTGGAATAACCTTCAATGGAGAAATGAGTGTTGGTACTAAGAATTGATTACTTTCATCCTCATGTACACTCTCGCTATGCTTCTTTCGTTTCCCCAATGCGATTCTTAGTATTTAATGTTATGCCAAGAAAATATCATTCTTTCCCGCCCCCCAAACATGCAGTTTGTTTGTGTCTTTTCTTTTTTGGGGGGGAGGGGGAATTGCGTAAAAATCTAAAAAATGTTTGTGTATATATATATATATATATATATGTATGAAGGAAATGTTTGCCGCGCTACGCGTGGCCTTGGAAGCACGGCCCAGCCTGCTGGACAGGGCACGCCGAAGGTGAGAATGGTCCTTGGCGCATTCCGATGACTTCGAGGGAATGAGAGAATGACCATCTTGTTCTTTCCTTTCAGGGGACATTCCCAAAACCCGGAAGGTGGCACTGAGCACCAGCAAGACAAAAGTTTCCTCAAATAAGATTGTGTCTTTGTTGGGTCTACAAACACAGTAGATCACAGTTGCCTCACAGAAAGCTTGAACCTCAGACTGCATAAATCCCTGGAGCAGTTCGAAATTCACCATACCGCAAATCCGCGCCATCCCAATGTGCATCAAAGAAGCTTCAACAACAAGATTCCTTCACATGGTTCAATAATGTGTCGTATATTGTAGAAATACTGTTAAAGTTGGACTGACAGTGTAAATACCTGATGACCTGTGTGTGTCAGCACGGCACTTGTTGTTCTCAGGCGCAAGCTGTGGTCTCTATTGTAAACAGGCTCAAGGCCTTGATCATGTAAAGGTGCAAAGGGAATGTACAAGGGTGGATGTATCTTAACACCCCACCTTGGATTGATGTATCTCTACAGCAAGCCAAACAGTTGTGTTCTAGCTGTTCGAGGTGATGTAAAAGTTGTTATCAGCTCTACTGGCTGTTTCGCTTTGTACATCTATGCCTCTAGTATATCGAACGTCTGTACAAACTGCATATGTAGCCTGATGTCTGCCAGGTGTGTCTGCGCAATTGCATTGCACCATTGTATCCACAAAATCCGGTGTGCCAAAAATGGCAATCACTGTGTGAGCAGTGTTGATCCCTGGTTCACCCCTGTGAGGTACTCGTTGTAGTAGACCTTTGCCTTGGTTGCGGCATAGTTCATGTAGAACAGGTGCTGCTGTTCGAGGATGTAGGCGATGTGATCCGGATGGCCTGGTACCGCTTGTCCATCGATTGTGTCGCATCTTGCATCGAAATGTGCTTCACAAGTGTCACTTGATGTGCGGGTGGCAAATGTTTCATGCTAGCGATGCCCATCAAGGACAGTGCCTGAGCAGCTGTCGCGTGCCTGCGACTTGTGTCCTCATCTGTGGCAAGTTGTTCAAGATTCACACAAGCGTTGTAAGACCAAATGTAACCTGTGCTCCAGTTGTACTTCATGTAGATCCCGAGCAATCCATTGTTGCCCGTGTACTTGAAGACCTGATGTTTCAACAGCTCATCCTATGTCTGAATTCATGTGGATCTGCATGTGGACTGTGCTGTAGCCACGATTGAAAAAGTTGATGTATCCACGGGATGCCCATTCAGCGATGCGCCTTGCGTCCAACTGCACTGTAGCCACGATGAATGTGTCCAAGTGCTGTATGCGACATGTCCCTACAGAGATGTGGTTCAACAGTAGTTCAACAGTGTTGTAACTGCTTCAAACGGGGAGCTGTTCAACACCATGTAGTCAACCTCTGGGCTTCTGGCCCAACCATGAATGTGTCTCGTTTTCCTCGATGTAGCCCAAGGATGTGAAACTCACTGCGTCCCATGTCCTTGCCACTGTGATCTCTGTGGCTGGGCTGTACTCGGCAATCCTTGTGAGTCCTGTCATGGCCATGTTGTACCTTCAATGTACAGGGAAAGTCCTCACCAAATGTAAAATGGCTGCAACAAATATCAAGGACACTGTCTGAGACATGTATGAAATCTCATGCAGTAAAATGTGCCTGAGGATGTAAAAGAGGTGGTCAGAGTCGTAAAGACAAAGATGAACCCAAAGTTATGTATCTAAACCAGGAAAAGTTGTACTGTCTCCAGGGCAGGTCCATGGCTATACCTAACCTGAAGCAAAAAAAACATGTGTGCCGGCTGCTTAGTTGTGAAACATACACGTGTGTCAACTGCGCAACTGTTGTTTAACATACTGTGCAACTGTGTGAAACCGGTGTTGTGTGACCTTACAGGCCAACGTTGCACAGGTGCTTGTTGAGAGTGGCGCAGCTGACAAACTTTGTCAGCAGGTCTGCTGGGTTGTCTTCAGACCTTTCTTTGTGCATTGAAATGATTTTGCTTTTGACAAGTTGTTGTATGAAGAGGTGTCGTAGCTCGATGTGTTTTGCTTTCTTTGATGTACCTTCTCTCATCGCTATTGATTTTGCTGCACTGCTGTCTGTGTGCATCCTGATGTTGATGCGTACTTCAAATGCTTCCTTTATGAAGTTGCTGATGTAGAGGCTTTCCTGTGCTGCTGTACCAATTGCGTACAGTTCTGATTCTGCTGATGGTTCTGCTGCCATAATGTACTGCTGCTCCAAAGAAGTACAGTACAAATCCTGTTGTGCTCTTTCTTGTTGTTTCACATGATGCCCAATTGGCATCTGTGTATGTGTCAATGTTGAGTGGTATTCGCTTGTCCTGTGTCTGTATCTTTGGTCGCAAGTTGTGTCGCATGCGCCTTGCGCCCTTGAGATACCTGATCATGCGCTTGAGCTTCTTGTTGTCAAACTGTGTTGGTGCTTGTAACGACCTTGCTAGCTCTTTTGCTCCATAGCTGATGTCTGGTCGTGTGTATGCTAGCCATTGTATCTTGCCAACAAGCCGCCTGTATCGTTTGTGCTGTTCGCGGTCAAGTGGTGCTTCGTCTTCTGCTGTACCTTTCATGTGTGACACCCCTGGTGATGGTGCTGGGTTGCATGTAGCCATCCCTGACTCTTCCAGGATGATGTCAACATAGTCGTTGTTCAAACTGATGTCGATGTAATCACCTCTGTGTGAGATGTTCCTTCCAAGGAAGTGGATTGTTGATCCAACTGTTAGGTCGCCGGTGTGTCTAAGTAGAACTTCCTTTTGTATTCTGCTGAACAGTGTGTTGATGATGCTTTGTACTCCTATGAATAGGAGATCATCTACATAGATCATAATGTAGACCAGGCAATCCTTTGACCTGTAGACATTGCTTTCTGTTGTGCATCTCACCAATTTGAGTGTGACTGTGAGAATGTGTGCTATGTGGTCTTGCCATTGTTTTGGTGATGATCTTAGACCATAGATTGCTTTGTTTAGCCGCCACATTATGTGTCTGTTTTCTTCATTGTAGAACTCGTGTGGTGGTCTCATTACCAGATTGTGTGAGATGGCTGCTGCATGTAGAAATGCAACACTCACATCTCCTGTACAGACCGACCAGTTGTACACCAGTGCCATTGTAAGAAGCACTCTCAAGATGCAAAACAATGGTGTACTTGCAAAGAGTAGGTCATGGTCTGTAACGGGTTCTGTGTAGCCTTTTGCAAACAATGCATGCTCGTACTTCATTGTGTTTTGTTTTTAGAACCCATCTTGATTCAATCATTTGTTGTACTTCCTTCTTCATGCCTTGTGCTACCTGTTGTGGATCCAGGCCTTCTGTGTCATGTATGATCGGCTCTAGTAGGATCCTTTCATTTTCGATTTCTTGTATGTCTTCATTGGAGGTTGTCTCCATTTGTTTACCATCCTTTGTTGTGAACTTGATGGCATTGATTCTCATCTTGCCTTTTGGTTGCTCTGCTGTTGTAGGTCGCTCAAGTGTTTGTCTCTCTGCTGCGGTGCGTTGTTGCTTGCCGGCGCTGCCTTCTGCTACTGTATCATCTCTTTCTCTTGTCTGTGATGTGTGCGGTGGTGCTGGCAGTGCTGGTCGTTTCTGATGTGCCGAAAATGTAGCCATAGGTGATGTTGGCTCTGCTGCCCTCTTCTGCTTTGGCTGTTGTTCGCTCGACTGTGCTGTGCTCTGTCTCTTGTTTTCTGCTGCTGCGCTTGTTGCTGCATCCTTCTGTGATGTAATTGCTTTGCCTGCTGATGGCATTGTTACCGGTGGTGTGAGAGTCGGTGTAGGCAGTGCTCATGCTGGTGTCTTCCATGGACCTGTGTGTACCACATTCCAGTAGTTGCTGGTTGTATTTGTGAGGCATTATCTGCCTTCTGATTGTCCTTGCTCTGACAATCTTGTTGTAGATCCCGATGAGGGATTCGCCTGTAGTTGTATCCTTGCCAAGCCAGATCCCGTTGTAGAACCTTGGCTCTAGTTTTGGAAAATGTTTTAGTGTTGGTAGCATGTGTTGCACTGTCTCACCAAACTCGCACAATGGTGTATGTCGTTCTCTGTTCCATCTGTTGAAGTAGCTTGTGCATCCATTGCTGTGCAAAGCATACCTGTTCATAATGTATGCACTGTGTCGGACGATCCAAGGCATGAGTGGATGTTTCATTGGAATGTCTCTGTTGTAGTCTTGCTTGATCTGTGCCTTGAGTGTTCTAATTTGTGCAAACAATGTTCTGTGTGCTCGTTCTACTCCTCCTTGTGATTGTGAACTGTATGCTCCTGAGTTCCTGGTTGTGATGTTGCCGTTCTTGCTTGCTACTGTTGTAATGAGCGCTGTCAGGAAGTCTTCCTGATCTGATTGTAGTATTGTGTGTGTGTGTTGTTCTTCCACACTCAATGAGGAAGTGCTGTAGCTGTGTGACTGCATAGTCAAAGAGCATCCTCTTGTCGCTCAATTGTATTGCCATGATCATCCCAGATTGGATGTCAATTGCTGTGAGGAATGGATGTACCTTGTTGTCATCAAAGCCCCTGATGTAGCCGAAGTCCAGCTGTATAATTGGAAGCTTGCTGTGCTGTTTTGGATGGTTGTTTTGTCTGCCTCTTGCTTGTACGCATATCGGACACCAACTCCTGTAAGGGAGGTGTGTGGCATTGTGCTCCAAAATCTCCTGTGGTGTAGGGTGCTTGGGTGCCTGTACTGCTTTTGCTCTTGTGCCTTGTTGTTGTTCTTCATCATCTGACTCGAGCTGTGTAGGGAACTCCTGACGTTCCTCGAAATTTGCCCAGCCTGTCCAAGGCTTGTCCGACGTCTTTGCTTGTTGTGTTGTCCATTCGTCTTCTACTAGTCTTGTGTTGCGTGCTTCTCCTACTGGTTGTACCTTGGTCTGTCTCCAAGGTGTAAGCCGCCGAATGTCTGGCCCGTCATGTGTCTGCTCTGGTATGGAAAATGCTGTGCGTGGCTCAATGTGTACTCTCTTCCAATATGGGCCTTCTCTGTACCAGTAGTCTCCTCCATGGTGTACTTCTGAAGGATGTGGAAGTCCTTGTCCAGCTACACCTTTAGTGGTGTGTGGCGCTGATGTGTCCTGAACTGTTGGTGGTGTTGTTTTCTCCTTCAGCCGTGTGCGCGGTCTGTACTGAATCACTTGTGGTGTCACCTTCTGTGGCGCACTCTTTGGCTGTGTCTTTGTTGCAAGCTGTTGCTGTATTGCCTCTGGCAATGTTGTGCCTTTTTTGACCCTGAATGTTGTTTCTCCTTTCCACATTTGCGGTTGTGCTCTGTTTGGCACTTCCATTGTTTGATACTTGTCTTCAAACGTGTTCGTTGTACCATCCTTGAGTCTGATGGTTGTTTTCCTGTAGTCCTCCAGTTGTTCTGCTGGGACTGGACACTGTGTTCTCGAAGGTGTGAAGAGTGTCTTTCTGTGTTGCCTGTGTACTCTGACAAGTTCACCTTGTGTATTGAACTGCCAGTAATCTCCTGCATAGCCTGTGTCTGCAGGACCTTGTGGTGTCAGTGTTGTGGTCGGTGCTATCATGCCGATCTGTCCTTGGTCCGTGTATCTGTAGCTTTGTTCCTTTTGGCAATGCTGTGATTTCTGCTTGTAGGAAGAACAGGCCATTTCTGCTCTCCAATGTGCTGTTAAATCCTTTGATGCGATGTAGCCTTGGATTGTCATCCAGTGTAAGTTGGAAACCTTGTTCCACCAGCCTTGTGACTGAAAGAACCGGCTGTTTAACCTCACAAACATAAAATGGTATGACAATGTGTTGTCCGCTGTGGTTTGTCACGCAAACCCATCTGTACCCATAAAGCCTGATGCGCTGGTTGGTCACTGTTCTGAGTTGTGGTCCTGTTTCATGTTCAAGTTGGTGTAGTGGAAAGTGTGGTGCAAACCATGGTGGGCATACATGTGTAGCCGCACCACTGTCAATCATAAGACTGACCCGCTTGTTGTCTTCCGAGAGTTGTTGCGCTGCGCCAATCATGGCAATTGTTACTTCTTGTAATCCTGAGATGGGTACTGCTAATGGATCCGCCATTTGTGGCGGTTGTGGTTATGCTAGTTGTTGTATGTGTGTCTGATCCTGGTGGTACCAGTTGTTGTCATAGTGTGACTGACTGTACCAGTCATCTGTCTGGTCATTGGTGTCGAAGTTGCCAGTATCGCAGTTGTAGATCGCCACTCTGCATTGTTTGGCCATGTGTCCTGGTTGTCCACATCTGTAGCAGACATTTGTTGCTTGCTTTCCTTTTATCCTTTTCCTCCTTGTTGGTTGCTGTAGTGTCCTTTTCCTTTTCCTTTGTTGTTGTATCCTTTTCCTTTGGCATATCCTTGTTGTCCTTTGAAAGGATTTCCTTGTCCAACCGGTTGTTGATTGTACTTACCTTTTCCTCCTTTATAGTTGTTGTAGCCGAAGTTGTTGCCGTAGCCGCCGTAGCCTTTGCCTTTGTTGTGTTTTCCTTTGCCTTTGTGCTTGCCCTTCTTCCCTTTTCCTTTGTTGTACCATGTTGATCCTATGTCCATTGGTGCCGGTCCTTGATTGTTGTTGCTGCCTGATGTGATTGACTGTAGTCTGGTGAATGACGCTGTTGCTCTGTAGTAATGAACACCATCGATCTGATCTGTGCGTATGTTGTGATGTTTCCTGCTTGTAGTTGTAAGTGCTGCTGTAGTGGTCCTTTTGTTTCATTGAGTAGCACTGCGATTTTAGCTGCATCTGGTAGTAGTGTATTGCTGTCTTGTTCGTACCTTGAGAGTTGGAACTCCCATGTTGTAAAGCTCTCTTCGAACTTCTGTTCATCAAGTTGTGGCTTGAGCAGCTTTGTAAGCTATCCAATGCTCCTTGTACCAAGAGGTATGGAGTGCCTTGCATGTATAAGCCGCCATGTTTCGAATCCGTTGCCTTGCATGTTTTGTCTGCAGATTGTAGATGCTGGTCCATCGCACGTGCTCACTAGGATGTAGTGCAAGTTGTTGCTCAGTTGTATCCATTGCTCTGCAACTTGTTGCGAAGGTGCTGCGTTCTCAAGTTGGTCATTTGTAACTGGTCCTGCTGATTGCTCTGACTGTCTAAGCAGTCTATTGTATTCTGAGTCTTGTAGTCCCAGGTATGCTATCATCTTGTACTTCCATTCTTCGAAGGTGTTGTATTCGCCATTGAAGCGTGGTGGTGATATCTTGTATCTGTGGATTCCTTCCAGCTGCTGCTGTTGTGGTTGTTGCTCTTGTTGTTGTTGTGCCATGTTACTCACTACTATGTACCTCAGCCTGTGAGTGCGTGTTGGAGCTCACCCTGGGTAGTGTAGTAGGATCGTGTACCAGGGATCACTGCTCCGCTACCATGTTAAAGTTGGACTGACAGTGTAAATACCTGATGACCTGTGTGTGTCAGCACGGCACTTGTTGTTCTCAGGCGCAAGCTGTGGTCTCTATTGTAAACAGGCTCAAGGCCTTGATCATGTAAAGGTGCAAAGGGAATGTACAAGGGTGGATGTATCTTAACAAATACATATATATATATATGAATACATACACTGTAGATAAACTACATGTAGAATACCTGTGTGCGTGTCCGTGCCCGTGCGTGTGTATTACCCCTACGGCATTCTTGTCTGTTTGCGCCTGGAACCGGCCAGTTCCAGAGGCGAACGAGGTGCTGCAGCAGGCGCAGCAGCGCCGCCAGCAGCAGCTGCGACACCAGCTGCCAGGTGCAGGGCGCGTAGAGGTCCTCCGCCGTGCAGAGCCCCAGGTGCCCCCGCAGCTGCCGCCCTGGAGTGGGAGGCGGGAGGCGGAGGCTGGGGGGAGGCTGGGGAAGTGGAAGGCGGGCTGGGGGGAAGAGGAGGGAGGGAGGGGGGGGAGCTGGAAGTTGTTCTTCTGGGATTGGGTTTGGAGGGAAGTGAAAGGACTGAAGGGGACTCCCCATCATGCTTTTACAATGGCGGCCGCGCATGGCACCTAGTTATGACGACTGGTCTCCAACCGGCTTCAACTTCTCGGCAGAAGTGGAGGATCGCGTCATGCGAGCCAAGGCGTTGTCTCCAAGCGGAATCCAATAGAACTGCTCCGTGATCATGATCCGCACGAGGAGTTTTCAATATATATAAAATGGAGCTCATACGACCATAGCATGCTCAGGAGGTGTGTTGCCCATGAATTGAGATGCCGGCCTGATTAGCCATAGGCTGAGCACAACGACATCAAATAGTCGTCGTGTCACAACTTGTCGAAAGGAGCAACATGAAACCAACATGTTCGGAAGATTTCTTACTTTGGGCACATCCTCAAGCAAACAAGGGAGGTGGAAGGAGCGCGGTTTGTCCTAGAATCTATTTTACGTACAGGCTCGGTCAACATGCTCAGTGGTCTATGGTCAATGTGAGAGGGACATGGGCCACAAAAAAATGATTTACCCATGTCCATTCCCGAACCGCATATCTTGGATCATGTGCGCTTCTACTGCCAAGCTGCCTACGGGTGTCGTTTAGATGCATTTGGCAAATGAACCAGCAATGGGGTTGCCCAACTGATAGGATGTCCTAAGTTGACTATTACTGACTTGCCCAAAGCCGACCTTCGCTCCGGTTCTTGACTGCTCCTTCCGCCCTTCTACTCACCTTCGCACAGTATTACCCTTGCATTCGCCTGTGTTGGGGTGCTAGCCAAAAAAAGTGGAGGGTTCCTCAAAGAAATACACCAAACAAATCTGAAGGTTTGCCCCGTGAACAACAATACTCCTCCTGGGTTTTCCTGCGTCAAGCATTGAAGAAAGCCCCTGAGCTGATGCGCATGACGACTTCATGGCAAATCTTGCTGCCAAAAACAGGCAGCCTCTGCTCCCTGTTGGGAACCTTCAGAGAAAAAGAGTCTCAATTTGTGAGGCCCTTCCAACGGACCTTTCTTGCTGAATTGTTCAATGCCCGGCTGTCTTTAAGGAAGGGTTTTTCATAGGCCGTTTCAAGCATACACAAGCAGCACAATCAAACTTGGCAACAAAGAGGTGATCTCTTTCAACCGCCACAAACAGCGAAGCTACTGCACCCGCATCTTCCGCGGATCGCGCCTGATCCCGCATCGCAGGCTTCGAAGAGGGCGTGGATTGCGTCAGAGCTGAGCACACGAGTCATAGCCAAGGGGAAAGACGTCAGTGTCGTCACCAGCGCAATGGCCGTGACCTGTGGTCTGATGGAGGAGAAACGGCTTGTTTGGTGTGCAGTGTACCAAATGGTAACCAAACAGGTAACAAGTGTCACCTAGTGCAATTAATCAAACTATAATCCTCGTGGCTTTGCCATGTCAAACACGTCCAGTGTACTCAAAATGGGTTGCCGCTGTGTTTGCCCACGACATACCAGCCATGTTGCTATGGTAGCATCGAACTGACTTTGCAAGAAGCGCTTGGCTAACGTGCGTCAAGGACGGACAGAATTTGGGCAAGCATCCTGTGTGTGTGTGTGCGTGTATATGTTGGCGTCTGCTTGATCGCTGGTGTGTTGTTTGCTGGCATTTGATTTGCTTGTTGGTGTGCGTGCTTGCTTGGTTGCTTGCTTGCTTGCTTTCTTGCTTGCTTGGTTGGTTGCTTGCTTGGTTGCTTGTTTTCTTGCTTGCTTGCTTGCTTGCTTGCTTGGTTGGTTGCTTGGTTGGTTGCTATGCTTGCTTGCTTGCTTGCTTGCTTGCTCGCTTGGTTGCTTGCTTGCTTGCTTGCTTGCTTGCTTGCTTGCTTGCTTGCTTGCTTGCTTGCTTGCTTGCTTGCTTGCTTGCCGGCTCACGCGCTTGCTCGCTCGCTCGTCGGCTTGCTTGCCTGCTTGCTTCAAAGCTTGCTTGCCCAGTCGCTCGTTTGTTTTCTCAGTTGCTTTGCGGGTTTGTTGATATAGCAGTTTGATGCTGTCTTGGCATGGCGAATTGTTTGTTTCTTATGTGTCTTTGTGTCTTTGCTTTGTTGTGTATGTATTTCTTCGTTTATTTGTGGCTTTGTTTCTCAGTTTCTTCGTGTCTGTGTTCTTTTGCTTCTTTGCGTGACTCGTATTTCTTGTAGGTTTGAATAAGTTGTGTCTGTTTGTCGCTTATTTCTTGCTTAGCTATGTGTTTGCTTTGCTGTTTATTTGCTTCTTGCGTCTATATTGGTTTGTTTGCCTTCCTTTTGTCCTTGCTCCAGTGCTTCTTAGTTTCCTTGTTTCGTGTTACATGTCCTTCTGAGCTTCTTTGCTTTGCATGGTGTTTGTTGTTGTTCGTCGTTCCTTTATCTGCCTCTTGTTTGCTCGTTTCTTTGACTAGTTGTGTCTTCTTCTTTTCTTTCGCTTTCTTCTTTGGATATGTGTGATTATTTGCTTCGTTGCTTCTTGTTTCTGCGTTGGTGTTTCTTGTTTCCTTGTTTCCTTTTTTCCCTCGTTCCTTGTTTCCTTGTTTCCCTGTTTCCTTGTTTCCTTGTTTCCCTGTTTTCTTGTGTCCTTGTTCCTGCGCTTCTTTGCTTCCTGGTTGACTGAACTCTTTGTTTCTATCTGCAGGGGGCACTTTCTCAAACTGAGACCTACAATAGCATCTCGCCAAAGAGTACGGAAGTTCCAACTTCCCACCGAGGCCAGCACTCTGTTCACCATCAGAGGGTTTACTCCCGCTTCCCAACGTATTTCCATCAGGGAATCAATCTGCTCAGAGGTAGCGGAAAGCCTCTTGAATGCGCGCAAAAAGGCCGCACGCCTCTGCCACGGGGTGCACGCGCTGCCGGAAAGAGGGGAGCATCCGCAAGGCGGACCACTGCACATTCACCGCGTTGAAGAGTGCGCCGATCAAACCCCCCAAAACCCCCAGCACCGCAAAGACCAAGTACCTCAGGCGCGGTACTTCTCCGCGCCAAATCTTTTGAGGGACCCCTTTGTGACACGTTGGTGTCAAAATTCAGAGCGCGCGGCATTTGGGGCCCTCTTTAACGCGAACGTGGAACCAGTTTAGCACCCGCTGGGCACACAATAACAGGAAGTTTGCACAAGAAAAGAGTTGACCGCCCTGTTGGCCTGGCTGCCTGGCTGCCTGGCTGTCCCCGAAATAAATTCCCGAAGTGGGCCAAGCGGCTCGACTGGGTGGCATGCCGTGCTGTACTCGACGCTGAAGAGAGTCAGGCCTCGGGGCGGAGTCAGGGGAGTTCCTCTGGACACATCGCCTCCGGCGGAATACAAATTCATCTGTCGCATGACCAAGCTCTTGAGGTCTGAAAGGTATATACTCCATGATCCCCGCAGGCTCCAATTGTCCGAAAGGAACACATGAGAATGTTGCCAAGTGAGAGGTTCCCCTCAGCACCTCTCATAGTGCATACCCCCATCTCAACTTCCAGTGCTCTGGCAAACTGGCCAACGTGATCCAAACCTCGTCCCCATAAAAGAACACAGCCGAAAACCCACAAGAAGCCAATGACACGCAATGGCCAAAACCCTCTTGGCAAGGCAAGCGGTTTTTCAAAGCGCTTTTTCAAAAGCTCCTTCGGCTTGTACACCGACCAAATGTTTTTGGCGGATTTCCCACGCACCGAGCGGGCGGCCCTGGGTGTTGGTGGTGTTGATCACCGACAGCACGATGGCGGCGGCCATGGCCGCGGTGAAGGACTTCACCAGAGTGCGGCTCGGGAAGAAGGTGCTCACCTGCCAAGCCGCAACTCCAGGCGAAACCCGAAACCCCCCCCACACGACCCCCCAAGCGGAAATTCCGCTGTTTGGGAGATCTGTGTGGAGCCTTTGCTGTTGTCACACAAGGGAAAAATAAGCACTGGCGCAAAAATGTGTGCGCGTGTGACGGCGGAGTAGAAATGTTTAAAAAAGTGCAACCCTCTGCGGTTTTGGTCACAATGGGATGCTCAAAAGTTAGCCTGTTCGCGACGCCTGGTCGGAGCGATCGTGATCGGCACTTTCGCAAGGTCAGGCACAGATATCGTGGCAGGCGCAGCACTTTCTCAGGGTCAGGTAAAGATTTCGTGACAGGCGCAGTGCTTTCGCAAGGTCTGGCACAGAATAAAAAAAACTGGTGAGGGATGACAAACAGCAAGAAGAGAAACAGAAATAAGAAAGCAAAGAGAAAGAGAATAGACTACAGTTCTTAAATGTGCTTGTATGTTTGAAACTTGCACCCGCCGGCTTCACATTTACGGTTTGCAATAAAGGTGCTGATGGGTGTTGGGCTACTGGGGTATCTTCAATGGTAGACTCCTTGAGCAAACCTCACAACCCTTATCTACAAAAGAGGAGGCCGTCCACCGAGCCACAGTTGAGACCCACTTCCCAAAGCGCACACACACACACACACACACCTTGGCAGGAGCTTCATGGGCAGAAAGCACACGGGATGTGTGTTCAGAAGGACTGAGTCGGTTGCTTGAAGTTTGGCCTGCAGACAATGCAGCTTGGCTGTTTGCTCAAATGACTGCTGTGGAAGCTGTCCATCTTGTAAAACCCTTGCCCATCATGCAAGATCAACCTGCCACAGGCATTGCAAGTTCAAACTCATGAACAACCGCAAGACCCTAAAATTGGTTTGCTCCAAGCGCCTTTCCAGGCAACAAAGCAGCGGCGACCAAGGAAACCATCAATCCAAAGCACCAGAAATAGGAGAAAAATCCAAATGAAAAGCACAAACAATCCAGAAATCCAAACAGAAAACCAGAAATCCAAAGCACCACATGAAATCACCATCCAAAAAACAAACTCAACACAAACACCCACACAGAAAAAGCATGCAAAATCGAAGAAGAGCCGAAGAAGCGATCAAGGGGCTCGCTAGCCCTCGCGGTTTGCGCCTCCTCGAGGCTGAAGAGCACTCCCCCCAGGGGCGCCCCGAAGGCGGTGCTCACCCCCGCGGCCGCCGCCGCGGAGAAGAGCTCCCGGCGCTTGGACTCGTTGGCGAACCTCCAGTGGGCCGGGCGGGCGGCCGGGCGGGCGGATGTTAGAAGGGGAAGAGAAGTCGGAGGTTGGGAGTTGTAGGGGGAGTTCCGAATCCTACGTCTGGACATGCCGGAAGGTTGCCTGGACCTGAGTCAGCAAGTGAGCCAAGTGAAGAGTAGTGCTTGGTAAGCTACGGCTTGGCTGCCATTTGCCGCCCTCAAGCCTGGGGAGGTGGTGGCCCTGGGTGCCGAACCCATTGAAGCAGGCGGCACAAAATGACACTGAGACGGGTCCCACGGGTTGACGAAAAAAAACCAACGGGGCTCGTCGGCCTCTGCAGCTTGGAGGGAAGTGCCCAAGCCGATGTGGCCTAGTTCGATGGTTGTGATCGTTTTGCCTTCGATTTGCCTTCGATTTGCCTTCGATTTGCCTTCGATTTGCCTTCGATTTGATTTGCTTTGCTCACTATGCTCACTCTTGTCGAATGATTCGATAGTGCCGGTGGCTTGGTCTGAAAATGAGAAAACGCTTCCTCTGCCAAGGAGAAATGCTCTCCCAAACGCGTGCCAAGGAGCTGCGGAAAGAATCTGGACAGCTGCTGAGCCCAGCACACTGCCACGTGGACCAAGGGCCCTTCCTTGCCCAAGGACATGCCTGCCGCAAGCGCTCAAGACGAGAGCTGAGAACCTCACTCCAGGCGGGCTATGATGCCATCGCCTCGTGAGCCTAACTGCCAATCCTTCGCGCCAGAGCTTCCGGCCATCCGCTTTGTACACTTCGGCGACGTCCAAAGCGACGTCCTTCGCAAGCCCCTGCCTGCGGCCACTGACAGCATCAGGCCCGGGATCTTGATCAGCAGCGTGCGGAGAGAGACCACGTCCGCCATGACAAAGCCGTTCCTCACTCAGCTTAGACAGGCTCGATTGGAAGATTGTCGAAATGGGTTAGGGATTTCCAGACTCGGGTACAGCAACATGAGTAAACCTGCCAATGGTTGGCTCGTGTGCCTCTGTGAGCCATGTTCAAGGCTGTGACGGAAAGGGGGAATGATGGTCCATCCTGATCACTTTCAAGGCCTTGACCCATTGGAAGCTTCGGTCTGAACCGCTCATGTCTTCCCCGAGACAAAATTATACACAACTCGCCGAGTGCCGAAATTCATGATGAGCTCCGGGAATTCGGAAGCGTGGCGAAGGTTTCCAGGAGACCCTTGTAAAATCAATCCCATCAAGTCTGTACCCCAGTAACCTCTTGGAAACTGCCCAGCTGCAGAATCGTCTTCACCTCCGGAATGCCAGAGCCAGCCGCGGAAGGGGCAAAGGAGAAGACCAGTAGGCCCGAGATAAAGGCCAGGAAAGTACCGTAGCTGACGCTGATGAAAAGCCTCCGTCCAAAAACCCGAGCAAACATGTCCGAAACCCAAATCTGAGCTGGGCGCCCGGTGACGCCCTCGCCCCAGTAGACCCAAGACTCCTTGCCGCTCGGCATGTGCACACGCCGCTCCCACAGCTAGTGTGCCTCCAATCATGTTTCATGCCAGGGATTCACTGGCTTTGCTGCGGCAAGTCCTTGTCCTTTAGGGGGAAGGCGTGAGCCTTTCTCATTTTTGCCATAACCCCCCCCCCCACCCGCCACAATTGCGCGCCCCCGCCCCGGGCTCAGTCATGCGGGCAGTGCCGAAACGGCACCCAGAAGCTGCTCTTGCAAAGGCCGAAGCGCAGCGACGACAGGCCTGCGCACTGCGTGTTGCTGGGACAAGCTTTATCACCAAGTACCAAGAGTCCACAATCCCATAAGCAGCGGATGAGTGGCATGATCCCACAGATTTAGCTCCAAACCATCGTATTGTGCTACCCATGCGGATTCCCCCCAAGACCGAAACCGACACCAAAACCAACCGATCCATCCCGGATCGATCGTCGATGCTCGATGCCAGTGCCTTGCACGCCCATGTCCAGACTGGCACCGGAGAGGGAGGTGCAAATGCCCACCGCGATGGCCAGGAACCAGCCCTGGAAGTGCCACCTCGGCGACTGGCGCACCCGCGCACCCGGACCCCCCGATTGTTTGCACCAGCCCGGAGAAAAAACAAATGCCGTGGGCTCAAGTGACATGACAATAATGGGCGGCGTGAAGTTACTTCCCAGGAAAACGAAGGTTAGTTCAACACGTTCTCGCCGATGACTTCCGATCAGGATGTGGACCACCAATCGCTCAAATTCTACCTGGCCTGACAGGGACGGCTAGTCGGGGGGGTTTTAAAAGCTAGGAGACCACACTTGGCGTTTTTTCCCTTTAAACATCCGAATGGGTTGCCCAAATCCAACTTCTCAGCTAAACCTTGGCGTTTTGGTGAGGGTTAATAATCTCGGATTACGAACGAAAGAACAACCAAAGCAAGACAAGCAGGCATGCTTTTGCGTGTGTTTCCCGTTCGACCCTTGCTTGATTTCGGTTGTGACTGCATGTTTGTTTGATTCGCCTGTAATGTCTGTGTGTCTGTGGGCTCTGTCTTCTTTGACTTTCCAAATGACTTGTCGATTTCTGCTGTTTGCCTTGAAAAGCCTCGAAACGCAGGTTTCCTCGACCGCAACAGGAGTCGAACCTTCTCAAACCTTTCAAACATTGTGGGACGGACAACAATGACTGAGCTTCCAATTTGGCAATCCCAAACTACCCACGGCAGTTTGGCAATTGCACAGTATGTGACTGCGGGCATGAACCATTGCTGCCTTTTCGCCTTCTGCAGCAAGAGCACGAATGCAGGAGCAGAACTTCTAATGTTGCTCCAAAGTTGACGCAAACCCAGGAGTACAGACACTAAGGGGGTATTGAGGCCCCTTCGGGACAAAACAATCGTGAACTGCTGGGATCATGAGATATCATGAGCTTTGCTTCAAAAAGCAAAGGGGGCACAGTTTGCATCCCAATTTCCAGGCAAGCCGCCACACTCTGTCCACGCAACTCATACTTTGCACTGCTTGGTGCTGATGAGATATCTCCTCGCAAAATCGGACCAGATTGAACCTGCCTCCAGCCACAGTATACTCAGTCTATGCCTGATCTCCTCTGTTCACGTGTCCCTTTTCCCAAAGAGAAGTGCGCCCTGCCGCTCTCAGTTCCCCTGTACCAAAAAAAGCATTGCTAAGCATTCCGTCCCCAGGATTCCGCATTCTTTTTCGATTCGAAACAGAACAGAAGAAGGCCGATGTTTGCCACGTGAAACAGCGTGGCCCTCAAATTTGACTCGCTTTGACCATGGCACGAAGGTCATAGGGTATGTCTGCCGTTGTGAAAAGATTGGCACACCTCAAGGAGTCCCGCTTTTGCAAGACTTGCTTCGCCAGAGAGGAGCTGAATTGGACAAGCTGTCCCACAAGATCAGAACTGGGCCATGGCAACTTGTTTTTGACAGGCAGGCGGGCGTAGGCATCGCATCGGCTCGCATCTGGTGGATGGTGAGTCAAATGGTTGGCACCGTGGCTCCGAATTCATCCGTGAAGCTGTGCTTCTTTGCAGCCACCTCAAACACCAGGCCACGAAATATGAGTGTCACATAAAGCACTGGAATCAACCCTATTCGCAATGCCGGACACCATCTGCCTCTCACTGAGCACGCAGGGCAAACTCTCAGCAACAAGAAAGATGGATCAGGAGGGATAACCGGAGAGCATTTCAACGTTGGCCACGCCCAAATCTGGAGCCCCATACTTCCCTCACTGGAAGAAGAGCCCCTTTGTCGCACAAATCACCGGGTCCCTGAACGAATGCTGAAGCTCGTGGCCGCTCTGGCAAGCGCTGCAAATCACGCCGCAGGGCACCAAAGCCACCAGGAGCCGTGCGTCCATGCAGCTGGGGCAGGTGCCGGTCTTGGCTTCCGCGTCTGGAGCTGGAAGCGCAGGCCCCAAGCCCCAGGAGGCACTGACTCGCCACATGGAGCTCTAGCTCGCAACATCTCCTGGGCGCCCAGCCTCTGGACACGCTCCTTCATGAGGTCCAACACGGCGTTGAAGCCCATTGTGCCCTTTCCCACGGGACGTAGAGTGGCGTCGATTGCTACAACACAACTTGTCTCGCCCTTTGCTGCCTCCTCTATGCACTTCTTCCTCAAGCCGTTGACCTGCTCCCTGACCCACTCCTCGCTGCTAGCTCGGTTCCTGTCTTGCGCAGCGCGTGCCGAGTCTGCAAGGAACATGGAGCAAAGCTTGGAGCCGAGAGGCGCAGCGGCAAAGCTCTTGGCAAGGCGCGAACCCCTGACATTGGGTCCTTGCAAGCTCTCTCCCTGAAACAAGAAAAAGGGCTCGCGGAAAAGGATGCTTTGTCGAGGATTCAAAGGACCAAGGAGTCAATCCCTCGAACCTCAACTTGACCAGGCAGACCAGGAGGCGCTTCTCGCCACGCACTTGGACTGGCACACAACGTGCAATACCCGCAAACTGTTCAAACCGGCTGTGGATGCACATGTCAGCTGTAACCCCTGCATTGCGTACCGTTAAAACCTTGGGTGCAAGTAAATGATGAAACCCTGAACAGAAATTGTACCATATGTCGCTAGGCAGGGTGGCCTGTTTGGTTGCCCAAAACTGGGAGAGGAGGTCCAAAGAGTCTCCCAAAAAAACAAAAACAATGGAAAACGGTTTGGCGCAAGGCTGTGCCCTTTCACACAACAAGAGTGCCCGCAAAACGGATCTATGCACTACCATCCTTCTTTGCGTCAATGTATATGCTTGATCAATGACAAGCTGCTTTATGTGATTTCAATGTCAGGCATGACCACCATGCCCCTCTCGAAACAGGAGCCTAAGTGACAACGTCCAAAAGAAATGGCTACCCCGTTCTCCTTTCTTCACATGATCCAACACTGTTTTTTTAAAAAAAAATGGCGGCTTAGGCGCTTCTTTGGTGCACTTCTTAAATCCAAGCGAAAGGGGTACCTTTCGCCTCAAAACAAAAGAGCCGCACAGCTGACTTCCCACGCCGCGCTGCCTCCGCTCGCTCGCCCGCCCGCTCCTCGCCGTGCATCTCCACCGTGGGCATCGACGGCCAAAGCGAAGGGCCCCGAGTCACCTGGGTGGCAGCCGCCTCAGAATCGCGGCACTCGGATGGAACGCCTGCCTTGCACAGAAACAACACACCAACATGTGCATATACATGTAGAGACATATTTGTATAAAATACATGTGTTGGAGTGCATGATATGTATTGAGTCCAACTGCGCAAGAAGGCGCAAACCCCAAAGGCAGGAATGAGGCTGCCAGCTAGCAGTGGCGGTACCAGCCTTCAGAAAGGTCCTGGCCCTGCGCAGGCCCAACTGCGCCACATAGCTCTTGAGACGCCCTTTGAATTGTGCGCGGGAGGATGTAGCGGGCGTACATATGTTAAATCAGCTTCCAGCTTCGCTGTCCACAACATGTACGCATACTGGTATATCATTTGTGAAACAAATATAGCTGGTGGTTCCTACCTCATTGGATTTGGAATGGGGTGAATGACTCATGAAAACCGGTTCAATTCCGTCAGTCAGGCTCCGTCTCCTCCATTGGTTTGCTCCTGGAAAGGGACTTTGGGGCTTGTGGGCACCGCTTGCCAATCTGGTGACTGGAAAAGACACGTGTCATCTCCTCTGCAGACGATAACAAACTGCTGATGCTCATGCAAACCCCATGCTTGCCAGTCCTAAGCATCACCTCCTGGTTGCGAAGAGAGGGGGTCCAACCCCTCTTGCACAGTGGCAAGAAGAGAAAAGGACTCCCTGTTTGTTGAGGAAAACCCGCAAAAAGAACAAAAAGGGTCCAGGAAATCGGTTCATTCTCAAATCCATGATTGCCTCACAGCTGGATTCTGGCAGCCAAAGCCAAAGTTGGCAACACATTGAGGGGTAAACAGGGCCTCTTTCGGGACCCCCTGACCTGACACAGGAAATCCTTTCGGGCCGCAAAGGCAACCCCTTTTACCCCTCGCAATTGCCCGCCACCAGCGAACATGGGGTGGGATACAGATCCAAACCCCCCAAAGTGCAAAGCACTAGTTTGAGCCATGTGCAGCTCCAAAAAAGGGGCAACCCCTTCGCAACTGCAACACACAAATCCGTTAACCCTGCTCCCCAAGTCGCATCTGGGCTCAAAATGGCGGCTGCAATCCTCATCTCAAATTCAAGGAAACCACCACAAAGGGAGCCTTGCGTCACCCAATTCACCCACAGGCCTTTGGGTTTTGTGGTTGACTCCCACTACCCATAGTCCCAGCACCCTAAACCAATTCAGCCCATGACCGGGTCGATTCCCATCCTTGCCTTTGAACAGCGTCCTTTCGAGCGCCAAGCTGCCACTTGAGATGCCATAGACTGGAAGCCAGTCAGAGGGTAGCTCGCAACCGCGCTGCCCCCGCGGGCCCGGTTGCTGCGGCCGCCTGGAAAGGGTTTTTTCAGGAACCTCAAAACAAGGGGGGATAATACAACCACCGTTGTTTGCGTATGGAGCTTCATCATCTAAATTGGGTCGACCTTTATTTTTACTGGGGGGTTGAACCCTGGGGGGATGGTTGGGGTGGTCGAACCACCTCGAGTCGGAAATAGACAAGATCAAAGTCAAATCGGTTTCACAAAGAAATCAGGGCTCAAGGACCATCTGGCATTGCCTTCAGGACTTGCTTCTCAAGCAGCCCGCACGGGTCAAAAACAGCATCGCCTTTCGTTGTTGTGTTGGGTTGTGGTAGACGGCATGCTGGAGGCCCCCAGGTTTTGAAACTCCATGTACAGGGGGATCTAGAAACCAACAAATCTCCAGCCAAGTAACGCATGTGGCAACTGATTGGCTTAGTTTTTTTTGGAGCCCGAGAAAAGAAAAGAAGAAAGAAGAAAAACAGGGAAGCCCCTTTTCAATGGTGGCCTTTGTCTTTGTCGCCCTGTGAAAAAACAAAATAAGAAAAACATGGAAGAACAATAAAAAAAAGTCTCCGTGCACAGCACCCATGTGATCATTTGCCGAAGCCTTGAAAAGATTCCTTACAAACCTTGAGGGGTCCTCGAGGGGTGCTTGAAGATTACCAATGGTTTCTGCCGTTTCTTTTGGTCGGAAAGTCACATGTTTGTTGCATTTTCCCGTCTTTGATCTTCCAAAGGTCGAGACGCTTTGCTGGAAGCCACCGACAAACTGACATGCCTATCAACTGGGGTCGAGTTTCTTTCTGCTTTCACGCATCTACGCAAGTCTTGCCAAAGCGCCAACTGCGCGGCCATCAGGGATTCCCTAAAGGACAGCCGGTCGCCGACCGACCCCGGCGAGCGCATGCGATGCGCCTCCGAGTCGGCTCTTCTGAAGCTCAAGGACCGCTTGCTCCCGCCACTGGGCCACCTGCTCCTCTGTAGAGGAGGACCTTGCCGAGCGTTTGGAGAAAGCAAAGGAGCCCATCTCCAGACTCTTGAACCTGCTTTCTCATTCTGTTCTTTAGTGAGGACTTTGGGATTCCCGTTGAACATCTGCGATTGGGGTCAACCCCTCTGTGTGGACTAATGCCATCGCTGCGTGTTGGCGTGAGAACGATTGGCGCTTGACAGGAACCTTCAGATTCCTGCACCAATTGCTTTTGTTCAGCAACCTGAACTAAGGAGCCTCCAGGGCCTTTCATGCGTCAGATCGGTTTTTTCCAGGTGACCTCTGTATTGTCAACATTTGCTATCCTCATTTGCTAACCTGCCGCCCCAGTCACTGCACAATGCAGAGGTGCATGTGCCGGGTGCTCCCCTCGGACACCGCTCGCCGGAAGGGCGACATGGGAGACACCGACTCCATGGCAAGAAAGAAGAGACCTCAAAGTCAGGATGGAATGCCGAAGGCAAAGCACCTTGCGACAAGAAAGCTCCAGCTTCCCCAACCCTTTCGACGTCAAGTGCAGAGATGCCGCATGCCTTGTGGCGCATAGGAGCTTGACAAGTCCGGATGCAGCTGCTTCACGGTTTCTCAAATTCAGGGTGTCCGACGCTTTCAGTTTACAAGTGCTTGAGCCGGGCAAAAGATTCGACTGCAAAACGAACCATGAAGGGTAGCCGCAGAGAGCACGACATCTCAAAATCGTTGGAAATAAATATCAAGGCCACAGCCGCTGGAAAAGTCAGCAGGTGTCCATGGTATTTCATTGGAAACTGAAAGTCAGTACCGATATTTCGGCAAGCACCAGCCTGGATCAGCATGGCTGGGGCAGTCTCTTCCTGGCGGTATGGTCATATCCATCGTGCTGGAGAATCTGCAGCCCTTTTCGTATCGAGACTTATACTCTCGTGGATCCTGACAAATGAATCAGGCTCTCACTCGAACGGGAATCCAGCTGAGGGGAAGCGTCTTGTCAGTGAGGCTCCTCTGGGTGAATGTGTCCCGGAATTGAAAAGACCAAAGTGGTGGGTGGCCCGGTTGCAGCTTGTCCACAGGGCTTCACCCGAAACGCGATCGCCATGCGTTTCTGACTGGACTCATTCGCGACACGTCGTGTGTGCCAGACGTCCCTTCACAAGAGCTCCAGAGAAGACAAAAAGCCTAATACTATATATATATATATATATATAAAGAGCGGTTTGCAACGAGTCGCCTCACTTGCATGGGGACATGGTGAACAACTTCTGAGACCGCAACGTTTTCGGGAACCCATCTGGGACCAACGCTCGGGCTATCTCGTTGAGCCAAATTCAGAAGAGAATTCTGCAAAAGCGATCTCAGTTTTGAGCGGAAGAAAAGGATTCAAACACACAAGACGAAAGCATGGCGCTAACCTGCTGGTTTCACCCCATTCCGATCGAACCCGCCTCGACAGGTTCGCAGCTCCTGCTCTCCTTGCACGTTCGCATTGCGATTGGCCAACCCCTGATGGGCCAACTCCTGAAGGCTTCCTTGCGTTTTCTCGTAGGAAATTAGCAAAACAGCATCGACCAAAAGGATAGGGCTCAAAACCTCTGGATCCCTTATCAAGCATTCTGGCTGGCAGCACAGCTGCAAATACTGCGAGCAAAGCAAATGCAAGATCGTAATCTGACAAGCTACGGGAGTCTTGGATCGCCTTAGGCTCCCTTAGTTTCCAATCAAAAAGAGAAAATTTGAAAGGGGTCAAACGCCTGCAACCCACAAAGAATGGTCATTATGCGACAGCAGCAGGGAGTGGGAACTTGAGTAGGGCCCTGGATTCTTTGTTCAGAAGAAAACCGGGACAGAAACTCACTAAGGGGGGTCGTGTCTTGAAGAAACACCCCATCTGCCAAGCTGCATCCAAACGCTCCATCTGCGGGAATGCGGTCGTCGGGTTGATCCTTGAGAGTCGCACCTGAAGGGCAGAGCCCGGACCGATGTCTTGAACGCCACTGGTGCCTCTCACTTGCTGAGCGGACTGGCCAACAAGAGTCGGACATGTATTTACCAGAATGGTTTTTGCAATTAGTCGAAGGTCCATAAACTCAGGGAGTGAGTCTAGGGAAGGCGTGCGTCTTGAGGGACCACCAAAATGAAACTGCCCATTGTCCGGCTTCCCCACAATTTGCACCTCAAATCCAGGAGCGCCAACTCTGCCGGTCTCTCCACAACATCTTCCAAGGCCGGCGCTGCCCGGAGACCGCGGGTTGAAGCCTCGATGGCCGAATGGTCCAAGCACAAACGTCCGCTTGACTGCGCTTTGCCCGCTTCACTCCGCGGCGTGGGAACAAGCCCAACCACGAGTGGGCGTCTACATACAGGGTAGGGTGGGTGGGGTTCTCTGCGAGCTCGCGGACATCCCCTTCGTGTCGATGTCACAAGCTCCAAGAAGTTTGGGCAAGGCAATGCTCGCGCCTCGCCTTCAACTACTCTTATCTACCAGCAGGCCATGGTGCAGTAGGGCAACTTGCCCCAGCCGGTAAACGCTAGGCTGGGAACTCGCCCATAAGCAGGCTTTGCTCTGCCCTTCTTGTAGCGGAAGGGCGCTGGAACGTTTGTAATGTTAGTGCTTGTGCTAGGAAACTTAGTAGCAAAGGACACTGTTCCCCATCCCCCACACTAGCCAATCGCACTCACCAATTGCCGGACGGGAGGAAAAACGCCACCAAAGACCCACAAAAAGAAACATGCAGAGTGGCTGTGCCATGCCAGAAGTAGTTGTAGTTAAAGTTTTACGAAATATGGGGGATTTCTCGCCAGGTCTGTCAACAAAGTCACCACCCGGTAAGGGCAGGCTAACCCTCGTCTGTCCACATGCCTCAGAAGTCTTCAGTGGCGCTGGGAAAATAATCTCCTACAGGTCACTTTCGTGCCAAGTGGTCTCATAAATACGTACTTGTCTTGAACTGGGGACAGTCGCCAATACGTAAGAAACCTAATCCTCCCACAAACAAACATGTTTTGCTGCACAGCACAAGTCCCTTTACAAGGTGTCCTTTACAATGCAGGCCACTGCGAAGCCCTGCTCCCACCAAAAAGCACATGACACATTTGACTTGGAGGGTGCCAGGGACTTGCTTGGAACAAAGAGGTCCCAACAGGTGGCAAATCCAGCTGTAGGTGCCAATAGGCTTCTCTGACAATTTGCTTTGTGCTCAGACAGTCTGAGTGGCTGGCTGATGCATCAACGAGACCAGCCTCGCCTGGCACCACGCGGCGCAATACTGAGTCCGGCCAACAACCACCTGCACTCCTGATGCCTGCGTGCAAGCTGCACATTGATCAAGGAACTTTCAGGGTGGTTCGGGGCTTGATGTCGCGTGTGGCAATCAATCAAGGAAAATGGCAAAGAAGTCACCATCCCGAGCGGCGTGCCCCACGTGTGCTTGGTATACACCACTATGTACATAGGTTTATGCAAATCTGTATGTATTAAGTCCAATACATATATGCAGATGTATTTATGTATGTGTGTGTATCTGTATGCGAGTATGTGTGTATGTGTATATGTGTGTTTGTATGTGTGTATGCGTGTATGTGTGTCTCTGGGTACAGAGCCAAAACACTGACACATTAAGGTTTACATATCCATTGAAGAGAGAATTTAGGGTTTAGGGTCCGCCAGCACAATGGCATGTATGCATCCATGCATGTGTGTATGCATGCATGCATACATGTATACATGTATGCATGTATGTCGTGTATGTCGTGTATGTCATGCATGTCATGTATGTCGTGTATGTCATGTATGTCATGTGTGTCAGGTGCGGCAGGCATGTCATGTATGTCATGAATGTATGTATGTATGTATGTATGTACGTATGTATGGCTGAATGAATGAATGAATGAATGAATGAATGAATGAATGAATGAATGAATGAATGAATGAATGAATGAATGAATGAATGAATGAATGAATGAATGAATGAATGAATGAATGAATGAATGAATGAATGAATGAATGAATGAATGAATGAATGAATGAATGAATGAATGAATGAATGAATGAATGAATGAATGAATGAATGAATGAATGAATGAATGAATGAATGAATGAATGTGTGTATACGTGTGTATGGAATGTTTGTGTTGTGCCTTTGTGTCATGTATCTATATGGCTCTATGTATATATATATATGTAAATATATATATATATATATCTACTTCTAGATATACATGTGTGTGCGCTTGATTCCCCTAGTGTTTGAGGCATGCATATTTACATACATATACCTGGGTATTCCCACCCCCCCCCAAGGACCCGCCATTTTGAAGAATTCACTGGTATTTGCGGCAGTTCTCTCTTTTTGGTGCCTTGGGAAAAGCAGTAAGAAGAGGTGTATTTCCAAGAACATTTTGGAAGCTAAGCAGTACAAAAGGTGCAACTCAAATGTCAATCGATTTCAAGCGAGGTCCAGAATTAAATTTCAATATATTAAATCGTTTAAACCTCCCAGATTCAAGATTCAAGATTCCAGGCCAAACTTGTCCAGATAATCTTGAATCCAAGCCCAGATTTAAGCCCTAAGTATTTAAAATCTTTTATGCGCAGATTCAGAATTGCACTTTGCCCGGCGGTGTTTTCATGTCAAAGTGCTCGGCCGTCTTGTGGAATTGATAAAAGGACATGTGGTGCTGATACGGATCTCTCTTCTAGGAATAGGAAAAAACTAGGACTAGACTATCTAACTCTAAATCTTATAGCAATTGAATCTCAAATATAACGTTTTATTGGACAGGAAATCCTGCGAGGCCCGGACTCACGTTTGCAGGGAAGACTTGTACAAGAGATTGTGAACCTTGAGTCGAATCTTTAAACATAGACTTGGATTGTTTCCTTATCAAATTCAATTTCAACTCTACTTGACTTGTAAAGTTTTTCAGACATTAATTCTATCAAAATTCATATCTAAAACATACTCTCCAATAGGATTCTGATCAAGCATTTCCTTTTTGAGCCCCTTTTAAATCCTATCCAAATCCAAACTCAAATGAAAGCGGCCGTTGGCGACAACAAGCGTGATAAAACCCTGTATTTTACGGCGCTTTATGACCATGGTAGTGCTGGGCAAGCAAAAAAGAGAGCAATTCTGGGACCTCGAGTTCTGTCCATGTGAACTCCACTACTTCATGCTTGATCAAATTCTACTCAAACGCCGACTCAGATTAGAAATATTCTAACAAGAAAAGACTCTTATCAGAGTTTCTGCTTTCAAGTAGAACTCGCGCATTGGTCTTTCTATTTCAACTTAATGCTACACAGATCCTTTCCAATAGAAGACTTGCCCTCGCCAAATCAAAACAAGAAAATATAACATGTTCAACAATTTTGGGGCATCTGAGAGTTCTTTCCTTATGAGTTGTATTTAGTATGTGTACCAAGTTCTACGGAAGTCCTAACCAACATTAAAGGTAATTTGATAAAGAAACACTCCAATCATAATTTCTGCTTCAACAGAAATTAAATAGGTCTATTTCAACTTAAAATGTTACACAGGGTATCCAAAGAAAACACCGTTTATTTGACCTCCGAATTCTTTCCTTATGAAATATATTTAGTATGTGCTTCAAGAGTTCAACATTCCGTATAACTGATATTAAATACGGTTATCATGATTTCTGTTTTCAAGTAGCCCATTTCAACTTAATTGATACGCAGGATGTATCTTGCAAAAACAGTATGCTTGGGACTCAAAAGCTGCAAGATTTAGTCTTACATTTTCTAGTCCTATTTTTGGCCCTAGTCTTAGTTGAGAGATCCTTGGTTCTAGCCCTTGTTTGGTCCTCACGTACTGAAATTTTGTGCGTGTGTACTCTGACACGTTCACCTTTGTGTTGGGCAGCTAGTCCTGCATACTCTGTAGTCTCCTGCATATCCTGTGTCGGTGTAAGTGTTGTTGTCGGACGGCGCTATCACGCCAGTCTGTCCTTGCTGCGCGCTGTGTGTCTGTAGCTGTGTTCCTTTTGGTATTGCTGTGACTTCTGCTTGTAGGAAGCACAGGCCCTCTCTGTTCTCCAGTATGCTGTTGAACCCTGTGTTGTGCTGCAGTCTTGGCTTCCAGTCTTGGCTTGTCAGTAATTGAAAGAACTGCTGTTTAACCTCACAAACGTAGAAAGGTATGACAATCTGTTGTCTGCAGTGGTTTGTCACGCAAACCCATCTGTACCCAAAGAGCTTGGTGTGTTGGTTGGTCACCGTTCTCAGTTGTGGTCCTGACCCACGCTCAAGTTGCAGTAGTGGATATTGTGTTGCAAACCATGGTGGGCATACCATGTGTGCCGCACAGCTGCCAATCACAAGACTGACCCATTTGTTGTCTTCTGTAAGTTGATGCGCTGTGCCAATCACAGCAGTTGTTACTTATTGTAATCCTGAGATGGGTGCTGCTCATGAATCTGGTGGTTGTGGTAGTGCTAATTGTTGTAACTGTTGTGGTACCAGCTGCTGTCACAGTGTACCTGACTAGTCATCTGTCTGGTCATTGGTGTCGAAGTAGGTTTTTTAGGGGCCTCTCAGCATTCTGTGCTTCTAGGAGCCTAAAGCGCTGACTTGCTTGCTGCATTTAGAAAGTTAAAAGCAAGGGGCCTTCCAGCACTTTGAGCACCTGGAAACACAAAGTGCTGAGAGGTCCCTTGTTTTGTGGTTTCTAATGCTCAAGATGTGTCAAGGCTAGGCTTTCTAGGGAATTGTCAGCATTCTGTGCTTCCAATAGACGATAGCGCGGAGAGGTCTCAGTACTTTGAGCCTTTGAAAAGCTGATGAGAGCGGACCGCGGGAGGCAGCAAAAAGCGTCCATCCCGAACCCATGTCATGGAACACAGGTTGCTGGCCAGGGAGGCGTGTAGTAATCCTTGCCAAATTCTCCCACGCCAACACTCCAGAGCTTCAGGATTTTTCCGGCGCGCGCTCTTGCCCGGTGCCTGAGATGTGGTTACGTTATCTTTCTCTCCCCACAGGACAAAGACTGTTTAAAAAAACAGATTTGGGTCAGGCTTTTTGACTGAACGTGATGGGCTGGACAGAAGTGACACCAATCTTGTGTGGCCTCGCTGCCCTGCTGGTGGCAGGCATGCGTCTCCCTGGCACGCCTTTTATTGCGCACTCGTCTCACCCGCGGCGAACTCCAACACAGCTTCTTGCGCCCAACGTCGCTCTTCTCACATCGGCACCGCCACCTTGAAGCAGCAGGCCACGGCTTCATCTATGAAATCTTTCATACCCTGTCAGCAAGGTGTCCTGCATGAATGAGCATGTCTTTCAAGCAGCCTGCAGCTGAAGGCCTTTGACGGCAACTTCAAATCTGATCATCCAGGCCTACATCCATGAAAGAAGGCAACTCACATCCCGCAAGCCACGCGCAGTCCCCGATTCCCTCCTGAAAAGCACATGGCAAACATGTCGTCTGGCGGTGGGTCAAGAAACAACCATTCTGAAACCACCATGAAAAGGGCACGATTTCCTGGCAGCAATCATGACTAGGCTTCTGAAGGCAAATGTCAAACGCGCCGGCCCCTCAACCACAACTGACTTTCGGCGGCAGCTGCTTAAACACACGGGGGTATGCAAGGGTTCCTTTAGTTGAAGTGAACATCGGGCCCCCCCTCTAGAGTGTTTTTTTTACAAACCGTGAACCCTAAAACCAATACTGGAAGTCCGCCCATGTGGAATTTTGGCTTCTTTTGAAGTAGCCCACATGGTTGCATGTCTAAAAGCTGGGCTCATCCTGCCTGTCCTCCTAGGTGAGCCAGCGGGCAGACATCCCAGAGGACAGCCTGTACAACTTTGGGCTCTTGCCAACTTTCCGATCCAGACGAGAGTGGACATAGGGGTGCCAAGCTTGACAAGGTCAACGGCCAGTCCGTCATCATGTTGGCCTGAGAGCTCTGATTGGCTAGACGTTGCAAGAATTCCGTCATGGTGCATTTGCCCCACTTGTCCGTCCAGCAGGTGAATGGCCTTGGGAGTTCTCCTCCGGCCCATTCGTCCGGGTGAAATCAATCCCTTTCCTGATGTCCTCTGTCTGCTTTGGCAGTTCGCCCGCGCTGCCGGCGGATGAGCTTGATGTACCTGGAAGCCACACAGACCTTCCAAATTTTTGTTGGTTGTCCATCTCCAGCGGGGTGCCCTGGCACATCCGGATGACAGTGTTGCGCTGGACCTTTGGTGCCGTCCGATGTGCATGATGAGCTCCCATTTGCGAGGGCCCTTGGGGATGACGAAGCTGCATGTTGAAAGCGACGCGGTTGCCGCCCTTGACGACAAGAGGAGGTGGAAGTTCGGCACACCTCTGCTGGAGAAGAGTTGTTCGATCGCCTTTAGCCCCAAGTCACCCTCGAAGTCACGCATGATGTCGATGAAATGGACTTGTTGCCGACCTCCTTTTTGACGATGATAGGCTTCTCAGGCTGCAGAAGCTTCATGCCTTCAGCGTTTGCCATTGCCTCGTCGAACGCGCAGTGAGCTTTTCGTTCATGGACTGAGAGATGGAACTTGGGGTGTTGCGGACGCCATGTCGAGAGCAAAAGGGATGGATGAGGACATGACCGGGCGATTGTGATCTTGAACTGCTGCAAAAGCAGATGCTATTTGTTTAGATGATTCTGTTGCTGACCGTATTCTGAGGCTCTGCGCTACATGCTGCACATAAAGCACGCATTTTCGATTTACTTGAAGCCATGTGAGTCCTTGCTTGCGCCGCTTCTTCGCCGACCTCACTCACTTTGAAGGTAACGCCCTCCAACTCGAAGACTTCAGTGCCTTGGTTGAGCTTTGGGCTCTCAATGGTTGCAATACCCACAAGGTTACCAGCAGACAAAAAAAGAAACTGCAAACCAGGAGCCGTCCGGTAGGCGGCCAACTTTCACGGGCCAGGATGTAGCTGCTGTTGGCACGCTGGTGTCGGCCATCGTGGCTTTGATGCTTTTCACAATCTCATGAGGCAGCTCGCCTACAAAAAGGCCGGCCATATTTATTGAAGGATGACACCTCGAGGCGTACAAAAACTGTGAGACCATACACAATCTCGATGGAAGCATAATCAGATGCTAGCTGGAATTTGATGTGGCCTTACATGTGGCATGAAACAGATGTACCAATGAAGGCTAAAAGTCTTACTTTTGAATCAGATTCTAAATGGAAATTCCTGTCAGGCCTTTCTTGTGACAGATTTTATCACTAAATCAAAGTTGGCCTTAACTGAAACCCATTGCGTTATATGTGGCATGAAACTGATGTACCAACGAAGGCACGGAGGTGTGGATCATGGGGGGAGGGGGTGAGCATTATATATATATATATATATGTGCTACCATACGCACATATATCTGTATATATGTATATGGATAGTTGGGCACACGCTTATGTTTCTCGAATCGAAGTCAACCATGGTGCCAACCTCCAAAAATCCATTGTCCAACCCACAGGGCAAATGCTTTTCGAGAGTTGCCGGAAAGCTCGGAGGCGTGGCCGAACTAGACTCGCATTTCGAGCGCGATGTCCTTCCCACAAAACCCACTTCAGTTGCTGCTGTTTCTTGTTGCCAGTCTTTGAGATGGATCTTTGGGACCACCTCAGAATTTGCTTCCCCCCCTTCACACACACACACACACACCGCGCAGATCTCGCCTCGCAGTGAAGCTGCGGAGGATCCTGCAGGTGGCCTGCCCGAACGCCTGTGGGAGCTGGTGGCGAACCGAAAGCAACCGAAACTCAATGAAAGGTCAGTTGCGTGTTTCTCTGTTGTTTGAATCCAAATTCAATATAGAACTTATACTGTATGAGGAACTCCGGAGCTCACCAAATGGGTCCTGCCTCCAAGCCCACCTGCTTTTGCAACTCAAGAAATCAGGATGCAAACATAGTCAAACAGACTTTATCAAAAGTGCAGGTGCGACTCTTTGATCTTGAAGAACAGTTGGTTCCTAAGTTCAGGCAAGGCATCAGCTCCCATTGCGAACCATCGGAGTAAAGTCCATGGCCAAAGCCATTAGGCAGGATCCATCAGACCGTTGGCCAATCCCTCGCTCGTTCGTTGAGACCCTACGAATGGTATGCATCCCTTCGAGTTCCGTTCGTTTTGTTTGGCGTTGGGTTTTTGTTGGCCCCGTTTTGGTGGGGTCGGAGATGGCACCACCAGTGTTTGGCGGGTGGACTCACTTGACTACCCCTTCGGCAACACTGAACCTTGCTTGGTGGCGCAAAGGACGAAAAAGGCAGCCGAGCACCGGGCCATGTCCGCAAGGACGCGGAAACACCTGCAATTCGCTCCCTTGCATTGGAACCGGGCCAGGCCTTTAACTTTTGCTTCAGCAACCGCTGCTTCTTCTCTTTCCACCATGAAATCTGAAGGGTTGAGCGGACCTGAATTGGTGCGCAACCTGTGCCACACCCGCTCGCCGCTCACCTGTGCAGGGCGCTGTAGACGTCCCCGCCAAAGCCATGTCCTGACGGAGCGGGTGGCCTGCTGATGACAGGAAGCTGAAAAACGACAATTCCATTCAGACCCTGAAAAGGGCCACCCTCTGCGTTCCAAGTTCATCTTCAAAGGGCTAGGGGGCCAATCCCCAAATTGCCAGGCAAACCATCAGTCCAAACTGCAAACTCACAGCCATCCCAACCATCGTACAAGCCGACGTGAAGGGGGGGGGGGGGGGCAAAACTAGAGGATCTCCACTACTTCAGGTCTCCTGTGGTTTCTGTTGTTTTACTCAGGTCTCTTTTGATTTCGCTCGGGTTCCTTTCAAGCAAACCCGGCCGTCCGGCTTCCTCCGGCTCTCCGGCACCTCAGGACTCACCCTCCCTCTCTGGGTCAGAGGAGGGTTCGTAGACCATTGGACGGGTTTGGCTTGGACAACTTCATTCCAGCTTTCTACAAAGTTTGTTTGGGCAATCGGAAAAGAGCTCGGGCCTCATTCTGGCCACAACGGCACAAGAGTTTCTCATTGGCTACAGACCCAAACAGCATCTTCCTCCAGCGGTGAGCGTCCCACGGATGACTACATCAGCTTCTGCAATTGTTTGCTTTCTGAAAGGCGGGTCTTTTGTTTCGAACATTCAGGGCTCCTCCAGCAAGGAGCATGCAAGGACTGAGTTCTGTAAGCCGCCGACTTCGCAAGTGACTACGCCGACTTCCCGGCCGGGCGGGTTCCCATGCTTGAACCCTATGGCCACACATCCGGACGCTCCACTCAATCCCCATCCAAGCCCTGCACCAACCCCGCGGACTACACTTGCCGTTTGCCCCTTGTGACATGTGTGTTTAATTGTTGGTTTCAGATACAGACAACAAATCTTCAAGTCATGCTTGCTTGGAATGAACCAAGGCGCGATGCGCGCACAAGTGTACTCAAGTTGTTGGATCTAGCGACTTACCCAAAGGAGAACTATGAATTTACATGGAGCTTGCCTGTAAACCCCACTCACAAAATGACCAAAAGGGGGTTGGGCTGCTGCGGGACAAGGCAGATCACCACTTCAGGACAATCTGTCAAAATCGTTCAAACAATGCAAGGCAAACGTCATCCCGCACCCGGTCAAGGTGGTGTTTTGTCCCAGGGCTGGTTTGTCCTAGATTTGGTGAAGTCCGACCCACCCACCAACCAACCAACCAACCAACCAGCCAGCCAGCCAGCCAGCCAGCCAGCCAGCCAAGCTAGCCTGGCAACCCCATCCCAGCCAGCCAGCCAACCAAACCATCAACCAGCCCACCAAGCAACCAAGCAAAGAAGCGACCAGGTGGATATACTAGAAAGCGTGAATGGCTTCAGCCACAATCTGCTTTCTGGACATGCGTCAAAACTCCCAGGGTCTAGTTGACTGTCCAGCTTGGGTACCGGATGTCCCATCAACGCAAACCATGCCCAACGAAGAGGAAGGGGCATGCCACATCCACACCTGTCGTTTCCCAGGACAAGCCAGCATGTTATGTGAAGGCTTCTTGTAATATATTGATCGACATCAGCTGATGCAACCCCCGAATATACTGTATCAACATCCCACTGAGTCTTAAGCTTCCGAAACTCGTGGTACTTGCATCGCAAGCAAAAACACTGGCTAAACTGTGATGGTGTCGTTTTGCGCACCTACATCTAGATGACGCTGCGGGAAGATTGACATGTCATTATCATGTCCTCTGCATGCGTTCAACAAGCGCAGCCACAAAGGCGTGGGCAGGAAAACCTGTAGAGAGAGAGAGAGAGAGCCCGGAACGGCATTTCAAGCACCACACACATCTATAGATATATATATATATATACATACATATGTATATATATATATATTGCGCAAAAGGCGCATGCACCCTAACCTTTTGCAGCAAACAAAGGCGCTTCTGTTATTGTTGTTTTGCGCTGTTCGGATTAGGCGGGTGTGCAACATTGTATCATTGCCACGACGACTTCGCCGGGAAGAGGAGGCACCGGCCAGCTAAGTTCACATTGGCCGGTCAGAAGCTCAGAAGCATGGCTTGAATTCGCGAATGGATATTTGAAGCATGCCATTCAGCCCTTCAAAGTTGGGGCACAGCGGGATCTGTACAAAATACCCCGTAGTGCCGAAGATTGCTATGGCAAGCCATCTCAAGTCTGTACCCGAGAGCCTCTGACTTGCCCCAGCAACTGGAAGTGGAACCTGCACCTCATGAGAATTTGGAACGTCTCCATAAAATCATCGCCTGCCTTTCTTTGGCAGAGCCTTCGGCCTTTGCCGGACTTTCATTTCTCCGGAACACCTGGGCCTCAAACCGCCGTCAGCTTCTCCGGCACCGCAGTGTGCTCCTCCAGAATCTGCATCAGGCGCTGCCCGGACATGGTCTCCACCTGCGCAGAAGGTGCTTCCACGGGTGTACGGATGCTTGGAAATGCATGCGTGCAATGCAATGTATTGCAATGTGTTGAAATGTATTGAAGAAGTATATGCACGTGCAATAGGAATGTGAATGTAAATGTGTCGCAATACAACGTAGTGTTGTTCAATGTGGTTGCCGTTGTCTTTATGTACGTGTGCCTGCATGAGCATCCAAGCAGGCGGAAGCAGATGTTCCTTCGCATATGTGGATGATCATGCGTATGCGCATACACATCTTATATATATATATATATATATGTATATATATATATGTATGCGTATGTATTGTTATTATCTACCCATGTACATACACGTGTTATGCTACCTTCACCTATGTCAAATTAGGTCACGCTACGTTATCTTGTTACAATACATTGCGATACAATGCAATACAGTACAATACAACAATACATAAACACATAGCGTAACATGCCATAACACCCATAACATAACACAGCATAACATGCGTGCATGGCTCATTTATCAACCCTTGCGACGCAACTCGAATGAGAGATAGGACAGGAGAAGTTGACATCTGTCTGGCCTCTAAGGAGCTCTGCAATCCGAGCATGGAGAGATTTTGGAAGTTTCTAAGCTAGAGTAGCGAGCGGTAGTTTCCCCATTGAAACCTTTGGGTGAAACTCCGTGACAGCAAGGCAGACCTCTGGGGCTGGGAAACCAACTAACTCAGACAGAGAAAGTTTGCGTTTCAAACAAAAAGACAGTTTGCCTTGCTGAAAGAGCCTTTGTTGAGGAGCCCGGAGAGATGGCGCAGCCGTGGCCGGAGGCCGGTGGCTGAGGCCAAAACAAAGGTTTCGAAACAAACGCTTTGCGGGACCCAAACAAAGGTTTAGAAGCAATTGCTTCGCTGGACACAACACGCCTTCTTGCAAAACTTGAGTTTGCGTGCAATGAATCAAACTCACAGCCGAAAGATGGTTTTCAGCATTGAAGCCGTAGCTTCTCTAGAAAGACTTGTCCCCGTGTGCGAAGCTAACTTCTGTCCACGAGTTTGCAGCAAGGGTTTTCCAGCAAACAAACAAGCCAAACTCTGCAACAAAACGCGTGTTTGCCAAGTTTCCAAAGTGGGAATTCTAAGGTGTCCGAAGAGTTTCCCACGGCAAAGCGGTTGCACAGGGATCGATTCTTCTTCCATTGGAAACTAACGTCTCCGCGCATGCAACAAAAAATGTAAGCTTGAGTTCGGAAGAAATGCTTGCTTTGTCCAGGGAAACAAAGGTTCCGTAGACAGCTGCGAGTTTTCATCATGGCAAAACAAACGTTAGACCAAGCCAAACATAAATATCATGGCAAAACAAACGTTAGACCAAGCCAAACATAAATACTAACTAACTAACCAATTAACTAACAAACTCACTCACTCACTCACTCACTAACCAATTAAGTAATTAGTGACTTGCGCCCCTCTGTGCAATCCCCCGCGATTCCTCTAGCAATCCTTTTTGTTCGAACATTCTGCGCACCTGCACTGCCAACATGAACTTGCTTGATATGCGAGATGGCTGCGCCACACACGCCGGCATGGACGGTATGACGCGGGTGATGTTGGCACCATTTCTGGGTGGTGATGGCGATTCAAAATCCTTGCGCTGGGCACGTGCTGATGCTGGATGCAAAGATCTGCAAGGTTTCCGCGCCGCCCGGTAGCAAAACACGTGCTGCGTACGTATCAAAATAAGGGGTTCACAAATGGCTAGAAATAGCGGTCCAATGAGGAAGGTTGCGGATTTCTGAGAGTCAAGACATAGTGGAAATGATTAGTGGCGCACGAAAAAGGGTTCCTGCAGCTCTGTGACTCCATGGCAGGGGTGTTCTTAAAAGGGGCGCATTAGTCCTTTGCGAATCAACACACAAAGGCGAGACAGAGGGCGCGCGGATGTTCGTCCTCTGTCCCATTGGCTTAAGGGTTTCCATTGTTTGCCCAAGATTTCAATCCAGCTTCCCTTTTTTGAGGGAAGCTCAACCAATGGTTTTTAGCCTGACTGGGGTTTGCAACCAAAGAATGGCAATAAATCTGAATGGGGAACAGGTGGACATAAATGCCCCTATAATGATGTCCACCAAAGGACATGTCATGCCTCGCAAAGCTCCTCTGCGATCTTGTCCAAGACAGCCCGATGCTCCGCGAGCAGAGTTAGGGCCCTCAAATAGCACCTCGATCAAAAACAGTCCACCAAAAAGTTCCGGCTTGGGGTGACTGGATGCTGTCGGAGGAGCCCAACGTTTAAAACTTAGGATGTGACTGGTGAGGCTCTGCCAGTAGAGTGAAGGGGCATAAGGCCGGCACGAAAAAACCGAGTCTAGAAAGCAATTTTAACCAACGCACAAAGCGGCGCAAAGCCAGAAACCGCATGTAGAAACGGCAGGGTCGCCCCATCCCATCAGGATTTCTCTCATGGGCATTCCAAAAGGTATGCGGGACCGACACCCACGGACCCTGAGCGTCATGCAGGGTGTCTGATTTGTCCTTTGGGGGTTTCTTTTCACGCAGCCCCGGTCGCCAATCGTGCCATTGTCAAAATTCGTGACGTGGGAGTAAAGCAAGGCAGATGACCATCCCTGACAAGCCCAAGAGTTGTCTTTTGACCATGTCCACTGGACACCCTCCAAATCCCAGTTCCGGTTTTCCCCCAAGCGGCTCATCCGAGATGGCCTTCACCGCCCCGTCGATCTCGCTGCTCAACGCCTCGGAGTAGCTGGGGCCCATCATGCCCCCCTCGTCGATGGCGATGGAGCCCACCTGGCATCGCGTCTTTTTCCCGGTTGTTTAAGGAAACATGAGGTCTGCCAAGTAATCACACGCAAGCATGCCATGAAAAATAACAAAACCAACCAACAAAAGTCACGGTGCGAAAGGTCGCCCGGCATAAGGTTTTTGATGGGTTCAGGTTTTGCTGGAAAACTCCTGTTGGGGTCGTTGCAGTGGGAGTAATCCTAGGGTTTCAGTGCGCAAAAGTCCGCGGGCTGGAATCGGGAGCTTGCCACGAAAAAAAGCAGATCCAACACCATCCACACAACTTCTCGGCGACGTGCCATGCCTGGGACATGCCGAACTGCGTGACCATGGCCCGGGCCATGCGTTCCACCTGGCGAAGAAAAGCTGCACACATCTATCTCCCACTCCAATTTTGGTAGTTGACCTTCTTGTTTTTTGTGATTGAAAGCAGTCCCTCCCAACAATTTAAAACAGGCACCGGAGGTCTGGGCGAGCAATCCAGCCACATGCGTGCAAAGCTCCTCTGCTTCCGTGCCAACCAACTTCAGGGAGTTGATTGATATTCTTTCTTCTGGAGAAAACCATAGATTGTGGCCCTCTAGACTACAAGTCCTTCCGGGGACCTGTTGCTCAACTCTCAAAGTGCGTAGGTCTTTTACTTGCGTATCCCAGTAAGGCTTTGGAAGTGAAACAAAATGCATTTGTGCATTCTGTTGTGACCCAGATGAGGCATGATCAAAACCACCCGACCTGGGAAATTCGCGGCCAAATCTATGGACCCCACTCGGTTCAAATCGCCTGCTGGAGGTCTCCGCTGGCCCCAGTGGTGACCTGGTCGGTGCCAAAGACCAGCTGCTCCGCTGCGCGGCCCCCCAAAGCGCCCGCGATGCGCGCCTGCGCATAGAAGGCTGGATTAGGGAAATCAAGCTTACGGAGACCTTGATGGGGACCCCTTTTCGATTTGCCAGGGAAGCCACAATAAAAACCCCAGCCACTACCGTCTATTGGGACACTCTGTGCGAATATTTTCACTGGTGTTGGTCTATTTTCCCGGCTTCTCTATGCCACCCACTTGCCTTCAGCATGGCCGCTGAAATGAGGCTCTGGTCCTCCCCAGGCGTGAACCAGGTGAGGCCTTTGGCCTGGCCACGGGGGATCAGCGTCACCTTGTTCACCTGGCAGTCGCAGTTTCAGTAGGCAATGCAAGCCGCTCATGCAGAAGGAAGAAAAGTACCGAGCAAAACATCCAGCCAATGTTGAGTGACAGCTTCACCTGCCCACCCTCACCCTCTGTGGGAAGTTGGGGAGTTCCTTGCAGCGTCCCTTTGAAAATTTAAGTCATCTGGAAATAGTGAGGAATAATCAGTGCGGGTGCCACAACTGGGACAAGCCATGCGCTAACTGATTGACAAACCTGGACTCGAACCCTCTATCCAATGCAACCTCGCAGGGCCGACCGGGTCATGGTATGGCAGCAGCGTGCCCACCAGAGCATGGCCTGCCTCGTGATAGGCCACCAGCTTCCTTGGACATGCTCAAAAGAGTCACGATTGGCGAGTCCCCTGCGCATTAGCGCAAAACAAGAGTCGATCCCCAAACAAAATGGCAGATTCCCCCAGCGTGGGTTCCGTTAATCTGCACAAAAGCATCCTACACGTGAAAAGCCTGCACGTTTTATTCTCTGGCATCATGCTTGGGGCTAGGTTTTGAGCAAACCACACTTGAACTCTACCCTGATGCTGTTTGAGTGGTGCAAGCTTCAGAGTTAGTTGGCTACGCCTCCTTTGAAAGAAAACATGGTCTTCCAGGGCCCCCCTGCAGGTTCTACGTTCGCTTTTGGTGAGAGTTCCTTGCTGAGTGGCTTGGAGGCGCTGTCGGGCATAGCCCGGCCCTCGAGGCCAGCGATGACTCGGTCAGTTGCGTCGTTGATCTCCTAAGTGAGCTGCCTGCTTACCCCTTTGCCAACAATGGGGTTGGGGTGTTTTTTTTTTGACTAGCCCTGGTTTTTGGCTAACCCTGGTTCCAGGCTGGCACTATGGGCAAAGTTTTACTCTGCGTCTTTGGCTCTTTCCTTTGCGACGCATTTTACACTAGCTCTTCAACATCCCCAGCATCGTTTTCAACATCCCCCGCATGTCCGACCAACATCCCTAGCATCACCAACAAATTGTGGGTAACAAAATCCAAAAATGTAGCTGGCGGGTTGACGTGGTCAAAAAAATAATGCTTCAAACAGGAGGGCATTTCAATCCCAGCAAAAAAACAAACAAACAATGCAGGGGGGTTGGGGGGGGCGGCAGCCCCCCCATGATGTTCGAAGAATTGATGATTCAACTTGGGGTGCAAATAATTAATTCTCTGTAGAAAATCTAAAACGTAGCGGGGGGGGTTGGGGGGGGCGGCAGCCCCCGCCATGATGTTGGAAGAAGTGATGATTAGACATACATGGACTACACAGATTGCCTAAAATGTCGTATTTTGCCGCATTTTCTCGCGAAATTTGACGCTGGAAAAAGTGATGATTCAAACAGGGGTGCAATTCAATCTCTGCCGGGCCAGTAAAGTGTCGTATTTTACAGCATTTTCTCGCGAACTTGACGCATTTTACACTAGCCCGTCAACATCCCCCGCATGTCCGACCAACATCCCTAGCATCACCAACAAATCGTGTGACGGGGTCGAAGAAATGATGATTCAAGTAGGAGGGCATGTCAATCCCTATAAAAAAATGAATAAAAAGTAGCGGGGGGGTTGGGGGGGGGCGGCAGCCCCCCCCACGATGTTGTTTGCAGAAGTGATGATTTGAATAGGGGTGCAATTAAATCTCTGCAAAAGTCTAAAAAGTAGCGGGGGGGTTGGGGGGATGTTCGAAGAATTGATGATTCAACTAGGGTGCAACTAATTAAATCTCTGCAGAAAATCTAAAACGTAGCGGGGGGGGGGGGCATGACATGTGAGCTATATGCCTGACATGGTTGGGCATATAACTAAGCTCGCAAGAAGGACTCGGAACCTGTGATCCACAATCCTTGCTTTGGGGTTACGTTTGGGTTCCCCTTTCCAGTAAGTTTCCTACCCCCATGATGTCGGAAAAACGCCACCTGCCGAAGAGGAACTGGGAATGCAGAGGATGCGAAAAGCCAAAAAGCCACCAAAAGCTGCATAAACCAGCAAAAAGCCGAAAAGCCTAGAAGCCCAGAAGCCGAGAAGCCAAGAAGCCGAAAAACCAAGAAGCCAAGAAGCCAAGAAGCCAAGAAGCCAAGAAGCCCAGAAGCCCAGAAGCCCAGAAGCCGAGAAGCCAAGAAGCCGAAAAGCCAAGAAGCCAAGAAGCCGAGAAAGCAAGAAGCCGAGAAGCCAAGAAGCCAAGAAGCCAGGAAGCCAGGAAGCCAAGAAGCCAAGAAGCCAAGAAGCCAAGAAGCCAAAAGCGAAAACAAATCCCCAAAAAAACGAAAAAAATCCTAAAATAAATACCCCTCCTCCTTTTTCTGACCCCCAGGCCCCCTCTGCCCTGGAACCAACCCCCAGCCAACGAACCACCCAACCACCCAACCAACCAACCAACCAACCAACCAACCAACCAACCAACCAGCCAGCCAACCAACCAACCAACCAACCAACCAACCCAACCAACCCAACCAACCCACCAACCAACCAACCAACCCAACCAACCAACCAACCAACCAACCCAACCAACCCAACCAACCCACCAACCAACCAACCAACCAACCAACCAAACCCGCTCACCCAGCCAACCAGCCGACCGGCCCCGCTCACCCAGCCAACCAGCCCAGCCAACCAACCAACCAACCAACCAGCCAGCCAGCCAGCCAGCCAGCCAACCAACCAACCAACCCACCCAACCAACCTAACCAACCCACCAACCAACCAACCAACCAACCAACCAACCAACCAACCCAACCAACCAACCAACCAACCCAACCCACCCACCCACCCACCAACCAACCAACCAACCAACCAACCAACCAACCAACCAACCAACCAACCAACCAGGGTTGGGGCCAACCAGGGTTGGGGCCAACCAGGGCTAAGCAAAAAAAAACACACGACCCCAACAATGGGGGGAAACAAAATGGATGGTTGAACATCAACCCTTAAAAGGAGCACCCTCTTTCCAACACTACAGTCGTCCAAAACCCTTCTGTCAGCTTCCATGTTCGTTGGACAAAGAGCAAGCATTGAAGCCGGAAAGGTCTCGCTAAGTCCTTGCATTTTGGATGTACAATACATAAGCAACGGTCTGGTTCCCTCCATAGAAATCCTTATATTTGGGTACATGACCTTCCCTGAAAATTTAATCAACCGCAAGGTTCAACCATGGCAAATATGTTAGTACTATCATTACTTGTCTCTTGTATACGAGACGCCTAGTGATTGATGTCTGCATGCGTTCATGAGGGATTGGCCAAGTGGGCACATGCCTGCAACAGTGTGGCCGGTTGTAAATATGTGGTCAGCCTTTTCTGCATGTCAAGTTTGTCTCCTACAGATTTGCCTGGCAACAAAAAGAGCACCAACCAACAAATAAGAAAGTTCTGCGACCAACCATGAAACAGCTCAGCTTGCGACGGCTTCCAACGGTCATGCCAGGTCTCCTGCATGGTGATGCCAGTCTTGTTGCGCCTCGCCGCCAGGATGGCCGACTCGTTCATGAGATTCTCGAGATCTGCTCCGCTGAAGCCAGCCGTGCGCTTGGCGATGTCCAGAAGCGTCACCTCAGGCAAAGAGCTGCTGCGAGAATCCAAATACTGAGTTGTATTACTTAAAAAAGAAGATAACACTATATAACAATAGCAGTAACAGTCATAATCAAGTTGATAAGTGTTACTTGTGACTGCAAGTAAAAAGTCTTCTGAAGTTTATGTCATTTAGCTGTAGAGAGTCCAGTTCAAAGAAAAGTTGCCTTGAAAGACCCCCCAGTCAAGTTCCATGGCAATGTGGATGAGAGGGCACTCATTTTGACCGAGAACTAAGCAGGAAATTATTCACGTTTGCGGACCCCAATCTGTTTGCGATGTGTTCTTGTTTTGTTTGCATCATTTTGTTGCACAATCACGGGCTCTGAAAGAAGCGTGCGAAAGCAAGCACAATGCGTAGGGATCATGCTTCACGTGACTTGCCTCAGTCACTTGGTGTTTCTAGCAACGCCGAAAGTATGTAGCTGCCTATGCACCTGGCCGCAATTGCTCCTCAACCAAAGTGTTGGCAAAACCTGTTTACCCAGCATTTAAGCGCACAAGCAATGTGTTAACAGCCGGGCAAAACTCCAAGGTTGGCCGCCCCCGTACCTCTTCTGCCAGCTTCTTGTTCTTCACATGCACATTCAGGATCTGCTCCCGGCCCTGCACATCTGGCAGACCCACGGTGACGCGGCGGTCGAAACGACCCGGCCGCAGCAAGGCCTGGTCCAAGATGTCCTAAGACTCAAGCAGCAAGCGAGGTGAGCCACAATCAAAGCCCAGGTAAAGGAAGTTAGTCGGGGACAGTCCTCGCCATAAGTAGGTGCGGCCTTTCATTATCTTCATGGTTTTGGAACTGTTTTGGGCCAGGACATTCTCCAACGAAGGCGTCAATGCCGATGCCTGCTCGAAGCAATGTGATTTGCTGTGCCGTTTCAAGAAATGAGAACGCTGGCTGCCGTGATGACTTGCATCTCATGTGTCCGTCTTTTTGGGCACTCAGAACAAGCACCGAGGCCGTACATACATGCTTCTGAGTGTCCGCACGATTGGTGGCAGCAACTACAATGACGCCGCTGTTGCCTTCAAAGCCATCCATCTCAGTGAGGATCTGGTTCCTTGGCTATGGGCTTAGGAAAGCTTCCAAACTGGGGTCTTGCCAGCCTGCCTCTTCAGTCTCAATAAGCAAGGCTTTCGGCCTTGGCTTCCAGTGTTACAGCAGCAATGCCGGATATACGAACTGCCGAAATGTGTGTGTGTGTGTGTGTGTGATGTTGATGCTGAAATCCCTCTGTCACCATAGTGGGGCGTTCAAACTACAAACACCCTCAAAGGGTGAATAAACCTCAAATAAACCACAAATGGCGCTGCAAACTTGTTGCTGAATGTTCCGCTTTCAACCAAAAAGCTGGCTGCTGGTTCCAATACAATTCCATGAGGGGCATGAGTCTGTGAAGCAAGCAAGTGTGCAACATGCGTGTTTCACTATGCTGATGCCTGGTTTAGGAAGAACCTATCTGAATGCAGACAATTGTCCAGGCGTAAAGCCGTTCCTATCACTCATAATTGGCACATCCCTTGTCGATCCGCCACCCGGCATGATGCCTGAAATCCTGCGGCTCCAAAGCAATATCGCAAAGTCAAAAAAAGATTATTTGACTTTGGACCCGTTTGGAGCACCAATTAGGATGCCAACATTTGCAGTCTGATTCTCTAGGCTTGCACCCACCCTTTTTGGTGTTCAACTCTCCCATGGAGCCGGCACATCCAAGCTTCAAGGTCTGCTCGCGCTCGTCATTGCCGCCTCCCATGCCGGCGCCGCGCTGTCGGCCGATGGCGTCGAGCTCGTCGATGAAGACGATGCACGGGGAGTTCTCCTTGGCCTGGGTCACGGATGGGTTCCATCTGTGGCGAGAGAAACTCTCATAGATGTGGTTTGGCCAAATTACTACAGCTCCCAACTTGGATCGTTTTTGAATCCAGCTGCGATTGCAAAAGCGCGCACCGGCCGCACCAGGTTTCGAGTCCCTAACCCACCTGCTTGCGGGTCCACAAACCAAAAAGTCATAAACAGGGAGGTCACAATTCAAGTTTGAAGCATCCCAACCTGGTTAACCGCTGGATGGTCACAGAGATTCCAGGTTGCAGCAGAAAAGAAGGCGGGTTGTCTTGCAAATCTCATTCAATGCAGATCGGATTATTGAGACGAACGACCGATTCATCTCAACCCGCGTGCTCTTGATCCCATTCCATGTCATCTGTCCCTCTCAGGAACATGGGGCAGCAAACCCCAGACCACCAGGATATGTGCAACAACTAGGCCAAAAAGCCCCTAGATTTGACGCGTGCAACATCCGACTATGGCCCTTTGGTTTCCCTTCCAAACCCCAACAAAGGGCAGCATCGAGTCAAAACTAGGACATGCTAGCCATTCGCATCCCAAGAAACCTCGACCTGCCTCAAGGTTTCGGCCAACATCCTGGCACAAGTTGGCAAAACATAGGTTTCCGGCTTCCGGCAAGGAAACTAAACGAAACCTTTCACCAACTTTCCACCCACGCTCCAGCTGCCTGCTTGAAGATGTCGCGGACCCGTGAGGCGCCCACCCCGACAAAGAGCTCGATGAACTCGGAGGCGGAGGCCTGGATTTCATTCGAACTACCAACAGCTCAAAACAAACAAGGCAGAAAACGCCAGCAAGGGGAAGCAGGAGCATTCAAGGGCACACGCTGCCAAAAAGAGACAAACGTGATCGATCCGAGGTCGGCGTTTCGCATCTCGTACTCCTGCCCATCCCCCAATTGCATCTTTTTGTTTGCCTTGGCCCTTCGCGCCAAGGACATCCGGCAGCTTAATACAAGCACCCAATAGCACGCTACAAAAGGCGAGTCACCAAGCTCTGATGGCATGGGCGCCGCCGGCCTGTTGCCGCAACAAAACATGCAAAGGGCATCTTCAAATGTCCTCGAATTGAGGCTGAAAGCAATGCATCCCATGCTTCCCCCTCGGGAAACAAAAGGACAATTTGCACATGCTAAACACAGCCATCTGTGGACAGGCTCGTGGGAGGCGAGCTGAACATCAAAACTATTCCGCACAGAGTAATAGGCCACGTTTGTCAGGACCATTCTGCTACATAACACCCTGCATCTCCAGCTTCTCTTGAGCCAGGGCGACTGCACGGCGATCCTTGGGATAGGTGCAGTGCGCCAGGCAGTAGAACAAGAAGCACACGGCGAATGACACCAGGGAGACCCAAAACACACCTGAGGCCAGGCTGTGGGCGTCCTGGGGCGAGCACTCCTTCTGGTTGGCGCTCTCCGAGTCGAAGCCGAAGATCTTGTCCGTGAGCCACCCCACTGCAGGCTGGCCGAAGGCGCCGAAGGTTCCTTCAATGCACCGGTCCAGCGCGTAAATATAGCTGTAGCTCTCTCTCGGGACGACGTCGCTGAACATCTTGTTTTGTTCATGACCATGTTCCAGGCGATGAGGATGCCGGTGACAAGGAAGGCCGCACAGTAGGAGCCAAACAGCCCGGGGGTGTCGATATCCATATCATCAAGCCCGAACAGGATGAACGCAAAGAGTGGAATGGACGCGCCCACCGAGAACTGGCAGATAGTCGGAGGCCCATGATCCGGGCAGCGCCTGAAGACCATGTCCAGCAAGAAGCCCCCGATGATGCTGGAAAGGCAGTGCCAATATTGAAGAAGGCATAGATGGTGGCAGCCTGCTGGTTGGAAAAGCAGTTCAGCTCCAGCCACATGGTCAAGTAGCTGAACGCAAACCAGGGTGCAGTGCCGAAGACTCCTTGCCCGATGATCACCAGGAAGGTGGGGAGGCAAAAGATCTTGCTGAGCTTTGGAGTCTCTTGGATGATGATCGCCAGCATTGTGCGTTGGTCTCTCTCCTTGGTCTCCTTGACAAAGATGCCAACTGCAACACCCACAAAGGCGCTTACGATCGCAATCACAAGCAGCGCAAATTGCCAGCCCGCGATGCTGCCCACCTGTGCGCTGGCCACAGTGGTGGCAAAGGCGGTAAAGGCAGTCTGGCCCAGCTGGCCCGTGAAGATCAAGCACCCGAACGCCTTCCCCCGTCCGTAAATGCCGCTCTTGTCTGCGACGAGGCTGAAGAGCAGAGGCTGGACAATTCCAAGGCCAATGCCATTCACAGCCCGGAAGATGGTCATACAAAGCAAATCCGGTGAGAAGGCACAGCCGATGAGGCCTACGGCCCAAATCATGCTACCAGCGAGGATGAGCTGCGGCCGGTCGGCAAGGAAGCCCGCGGGCAGGGCGAAGACGGATTCAAAGATGCCCCGCACGAGACCCAGGTTGCTGAGATCAGCTGGTGAGAGGTTGAAGTGCTTGGCAATCTCTGTGTACACTGCTGGCAGGGCCATGTTGTCCGTGTTCCACATGACCATGACCATGTTCAGGCACACCATCTGCAGCAACCAGCTCCACCAGCTCTCCTGTGGCTGCTTCTTAGTGTCTGCGGCATCAGACCATTGTTGATTGTCTGAGGCTGCCTTGGCGTTGCCCGAGTCAACTGCAACTGGCTGGTGGCTCGCCATGGCAGGACACGCAGAGGTCTGTGAGCGGAAATCGTTCGAGCCAAAATTGCTATGCCACCAAACCGGACTCCCGAATCCAACAGCTTCAGAGTTGGCCCAAAAACTGTCCTGGGCCCGAAACTGGGCATCGAACGGTTTGCCACTGGCCTGGATGAAGGGCACCTTGGCCTCCCCTGCCAACGCCTTGGCCATGAGGGTCTTGCCTGGGCCAGGTCCAGTGGCTTTATTCCGCCGAGTCTATGGTTGAAGATGAGTATGTGTCAACACAGGGGACCCCCCGGCTTTCCTTTTGTTTTCCCGTTCAACCACCCCGATTATGGGACCTTTTTTGAGGGTACCCTGTTCAACGGCTGGCTCGATGGGAAATCAAAAGCAGATGGATCCCTGGAAAAGGAAAACCAAAGGACCCAACCCCTTTCACACATGTTCGACCACAATGGCGGCCGTCTTTAAAACCCTTTGGTCTAGTGATTTAGTGGCCGCAGGGAGGACAACCATCGCTCCAGGGGAAGGTACATATTTGATCTAAGATCTGTGCTGTTGATTTATGCCCCAGTGCATGATGGTGGCATGCCGCTTTACCTTTTGGTTTAATGCCAACCAAAAAGGTTGCAGGTCGAAAGAGCCTTCGCCCCGAACTCCTCCCCTCTTGCGTCGAGGCACCCGTGCCCGGAGGGCCACTCAGCAGGACGCCTCGAGGGATCTTGGCGCCCACCTTCACGAAGCGCTCGGGCGCCCGTAGGAAGTCCACGATCTCGGTCAGCTCCTTCCAGGTGCAACAACTGTTGCAACCAAACTCATGTTGGAAATCGCCCTTCAGGAAAAAACGAAAGTCGGCGTGGTATAAGTAGTTCGGTGGTTTATATATGACATGGTGCATACCGTATAGATCATGACAGGTTGTTGAAACAGTTTGGTGATTTAGTTAATTGGTTTAAACAAGGGGTTGAATCGCCCACCTGCTTGGCCTCCTCGATGCCTGCCACATCCTCGAACTTTACACCTGAAGGCCGAAGGGGGGACTTGGGCTGGGCAGTCGGGGGAGCCACTTGCCTTCACTTCCTTCCCACTCATTGACAGACAGGTGAGAAGGCCTTCAGTGCTTTTGGTGGAGACCGGTGAGAAGGCGTGAGGACTTGTTTAGTTGATCTCAAGCCTGGAAGCGTGAAGGACACTTGTTCGATTGTCTCTGTGAGACCTGTTGGTCTTCTCAGTCACCGGCACCCACATCCACTCATAAACTTGTTCATCTGGGGTGTATTCAATCTTAAGCCGCTGACAGTAAGAACCTGTATCACAAGGAGAAACTGCTCAACGAAAGGGACAAATGACGAAGCTTGCCGAGTGAATCCGTTTCTTGTATCAAATGTTGTTGTCAACGCTGCTTCATCTTCCTTCGTGTTCATCCATGATTCTCGTCCGACCACAACCAGGAAGGTGAGAGACAGACTGGCCACTGCATCTGAACATTGTCAAAGCAAGGATTGCATAGATTCAATGAGACTTGGTATTTGGGAACTTGTCCCGTATGTCATCCGTTCCATGTGTCTTGAGGACAAATATGATAAGAACGGGCGGCTCCTTTCCCTATTTAAGACATGTAAAACGCATAGATTCTTCATGACGTGATTGCTTCAGATTCAATTTGAAAGGACTGGCGAGAATAAGAACAATTGGACCTTCTTGAGTGCGATAGCTGCATTCACGTAATCGAAGCTTTCACTGATCGCGCCCATCAAACAAAGCAGCACTGGTGGTCAGATCACTGATAGCATGATCTTTCTCGAGAACAGAGTTTCTACTAAGTCATGGGGCCGCAACTATCACAATGAAACGGACAACTGAAACGGACAACGTGCTAGGAATTGCTGCATCGTGTTGCGCTTTTGCACCTTTTCGAGCTTTCTGATACGAGGCGGGACCGAAGTTACTTGCCCCAAAAGGGATTCGAAAATTAGTGTCTCTCTTGGAAATCTAGTAAGGCCCCCATGTCCCTCCCGGTTGACGATAGACTGCTGGAAATCTGAACCAACCTCATAACCTCATGATGTGTGTCTGCTTGTGCCACTGTTGCGAGTTCCCAGGCGCCGGTCTCCGGCGTCATCATGATCTGCGCTTTCTGGTTCATGCCCGGGATGCCGCCCGTGCCAGGGCCCCTGGACCAGGCTTGGGCAGTTTGTTGTTTGAACAACCGGGCCCTGGTCACCTTTAATGGGAGACCAAAAGGAGGCTTGCTTCCCAAAAGAATGGTTTCAGCCAAAGTTTGAGCAAGGGATTGGCCCAACGGCCTGGAGCGCAATTAGATTAGACCTTGGCGAGGGGTATTGCCCATCCCTGGCCTGGACCGCATATACAGCAACCCTCCGATGAGCAGAAGCGGCAGAGCGGCATCGCCCAGCGCGCCCAGCAGAGGGTTGGGCTTCTCAGGCGTGTGGACCTCGATCTGGATCCTGAGATACGAGCGTGAGGCAAGCGGACAAGTCCTTTTTGAGAGTATCATGTTTGGTTGTTGAAAAGGCAAACCAAAACAAAACACCCAGTTTGGGGTTCCCTCATTTAAAGCTCCAAGGCAAGTCGAGCGCAAGTTCCGTCAGTTGATCATTGGGTCCTTTTAATTCACAAGCGCCATCCTCTCTTCATAGTGTTCTGCGTTTGACTAAAGGGCAAAACGGCGGCCGTGCTTCTCATCTGTGCAAAACGTAAAAAGGTAGAAAAGGTGAGAGCGGTCACCCTGTAGTTCCCTTGGGGTATCCCTCAAAACACTGCAAAAGGTTCAAAGAAGGCAAAGGTTGAGCTGACAGCAAGTAGTCGCAAGAGGGCGCGGAAAAAACAGCATTGTGCTTTGAGACAAGGTAAAGTAGCCCACCTCACTATGCCATTCTAATGACTTGAGCTGCGGCCAACATTCTGAGTATCCCAACTGACATGGGATTTTGGTGAGTCCCCATTTCTCAACGGAAGTTTGGGGATCACGCGCACGTATGTCCCCTTTAGAGTAGATAACAGTTGTCTTTGGACCCGGATTTAGACCATTAGTTGCTCTCACGGCAAGCCGCTGCTTGGCCAAAAGCTTGTTGACGAGTCCGGTGCCCGGCGGCAGCTCTGCCACCAGCTGCTGCTGCCTGCCCGCCACGCTCACCACCCCTGTGCGGCCCTTGTCGTAGAAGTCCACACGGTCCACCTGACCCTCCTCAGCGCTGAAACGCATGAAATATGTTTTCAAGTCATGTTCTTTCGCCGAGCTGTTTTGCCAAGCCAGTTGATACAGCATCTTACATGGTGCAAGTCGCTCCATGCTTTCCGTTGCAACAGAAACAACGTGCGGGCCAGGTTCATCCACCAGCTGCAGCAAATTCGAGTAGCTGACCCTGTCCACAGGCGATGCTGCGATCTCTCGTCCTTGGGCCGCCTGCTGCATTGGGGCTATGTCTGGCAAAGCAGCCTCGGCCGAGGCTGGCACCTCGGCCGAGGCTGGGATAGGAGCTGCAGTGGATGCCAAAGCCACTACAAAAGAGGCAGCAGCAGCTTGGATCGCCTGCAACAAGGGAAATACAAGCAATACAATCCCCTGCCCCAACAAATCCAAGTATCCAAAGGCCATCCCGCCGCAAGCACCCTATTTAGAAAAGCCATGAAAGCCCACTTGGCAACAACAGCCCCTTGGACTTGTGCCATCCCTCGCCTGCTCTGGCAGCGCTGTACCCTGCGAGTCGGCCACCTGCTGCACCTTGCGCAGCACCTCATCGCTGGTGCACTCGCTTGCAGCCTCCACCCCTTCGGTGGCAAGGCCGTACCGCGCCACCGCGCTCCTGGCTGCCCGGCTGCGCAGTATAGGCAAAGCGCGGCTTCCGCAAAAGCCAGGTCTCCTTTGGCCACGGACCTGGTGGACTTGCGCTGGCAGCGCGGCGCGGCTGGTGCCGGTGTTTTCAGCGGCTTCACCCATGTAGGCCGCAGTGGCCATCTGCTGCGCCATGACCAACTTGCCTTCAGCCATTAAGCCCGGTTAAACGACTATTGTTCAAACAAGCTTCAACCAAGCCGTCAACCAACCCTGCCTTCAATCGCAGCCTTGTTGATCATCCTGACCAACTCTTCACCACCAACCTTCTCCTGCTCCATCAAGGTCTTGGCAAGCTCATCCAGCAGGTACATGTTGTCAGTGAGAAGCTTCATCCCACGTTTGTACTGCTCATCCACTATGCGCTTCACCTCCAAGGATCCGACTCTAATTGCAAAACTGGAATCGGGATGTTCGTTCGGATGTTCGATTCCCGCATGCAAAATGGCAGCTTCGACAAGGCCACCATCATGTTGAATTCTCCCATTGGATGACTCGCCCCTGGGCCGTTTGTCCCTTGGCCCCCCACATTCACCCAGATTCGTCCTCGCCTCATCATCCACCTGCTGCTTCAAGGCCTGCGACATGGGGGGCGCGCTCTGACCCATGAAGTCTCGGCCCATGAAGGGACCGCCCCCCTGTTGGCCGCCCAACAGCCGCTGGCCGATCGCTGGCGACATGCCCAGCGTCATCACCATCCTCAGCAATCTATTCCCTGTCCACCAGAAATGGAAAAAGGCAGAGGCCATCCAAAATTGGCCCTCATTGGCAAAAACAATTACGCGTCGCGAAATCCCCACCCTCCACACTCACGAGCTTACGACCGTGAACACGTTTGTGTGAATTCAAGCATGGTTTTCGAGTGGCTTGCTTTGCATTGAGAGCCTTATCCACCTGTCTGTGTCAAACTCCACTTGTCTGCGAGCCGATCTCGAGAACTCAAACATCGGTTCCGTTAACAACAGCCAAGCCCCTTCCAAAAGGAAACCCGACGGGGGATTGGACGAAGTTGCTTGTTCACAACCCAAAGCAACACACAACAGCATCACCCTTTCCGAGCCTCAGGGCACACTCAAAACACGAAAGCACCTGTGTGCCGGGCGGGACTTGAAGCAAAACCATGGCGAGCTGCTCTGGCGGGATACTGGCAGGATCCATTGGCAAATACTGGCGAGCCGCTCCGCTCGATACTGGCCGGACATTCGGCAGGATCCACCGGCAAAGGATACTCAGCAGGATACTCGGCGGGACCCACAGGCTACTTTGGCGGGATACTCGATCGCGAGCTACTCTGGGACACTCAGCGGGACACTCGGCGGGAATTACTGGCGGGCTGCTTGGCGGGATACTCCGCGAGCTACTCTGGGATACGCGGCGCGATCCAGTGGCGGGATTCACTGGCGGGCTGCTCTGGTGAGATACTCGGCGGGACGGGATACTTGGCAGGAGAGCCGCTCTGGCGGGACACTCGGCGGGATCCACTGGCGAGCAGCTCTGGCGGAATACTGGGCCGGATCCACTGGCCAGCTGCTCTGGCGAAACACTCGGCGGGATCCACTGGCGAGCCGCTCTGGCGGGATACTTGGCGGGATACTGGCGAGCTGCTCTGGCGGGATACTCGGCGGGATCCGCTGGCGAGCAGCTCTGGCGGGATAGTGGGCGAGCAGCTCTGGCGCGATACTGGGCGGGATCCACTGGCGAGCTGCTCTGGCGGGATACTCAGCAGGGTCCACTGGCGAGCAGCTCTACAGGATACTCGGCGGGATCCACTGGCCAGCTGCTCTGGCGGGATACTCGGCGGGATCCATACTCGGCGGGATCCACTGGCGAGCCGCTCCGGCGGGATACTCGGCGGCACTGGCGAGCCGCTCTGGCGGGATACTCGGCGGGATCCGCTGGCGAGCAGCTCTGGCGGGATACTGGGCGGGATCCACTGGCGAGCAGCTCTGGCGGGATACTCGGCGAGATCCACTGGCGAGCTGCTCTGGCGGGATACTCGGCGGGATCCAATGGCGAGCTGCTCTAGCGGGATACTGGTTGGGGGCGTGGTGTAGAAGCATCGCAAACGCGGATTTCAACATAATAAAATCTAACAACCCCTTCCTGTCGGGTGGGGAAAAACACTTGCATTTTGTTTGGATGAATGAAGTCCAGGGAGATTCGAATTCCGTACTTAGTTGTACAGGGAGTGATCCCAGTCTACATCCATATGGTTCTCCCTTGCTGGAAGATGGGAAAACACATATTATCAAAGGGGCCACCTATTTGGGTCCCTCATTTAGAGACAAACCCGCCTGTTGTTTAGTGGTTGCTGTTGAAGATGGAACAACGCCAACCCTTTGCGGTCGCAAAGTTTTGACGCATACCCACTTGGCCTATTTATTGCAAAAAGGAGCTTGGTTTCGCAAACGGGCCAATGCTTTCTGGCATCATGTGAGTAAAAAAACACTTCACACACACAGACACATTTGGAAGCTGCACCCCATGTTCCATTTGTCAGATGATTGCAGAAGCGAGATTCAAAAGTACGGACAGGCCTCTAGCCTTCAAGGCACGTCAGTTGGATTCAACTTTGCAAGCTCAACTAAGGAACATGATTGGGTGTCTCCTCTGCAAACGATTAAAGGTGGCAGGGGCGTACACTGCAAAAAAACGAGGCATGCGGCCTGGGCGCTGCTTGGCCACCTGCGTGCACTGCTGGAAGTCGTTGGAGGCCCCTGTGGTGACATTGTCCTTGCCGTTGATGATCTCCTCCAGGCTTGGGCAATTCAAGCCACTTTGGTTTGAAATGACTCCTATGGATTTAAATTACGGCTTGCTGTGGGTTAAGCACCACAGGGTGGTTTGAACAATGGTTGGGCAATACCCCCTTCTAAACTGGGGCAAAACCCATATCCTTCAATTAAATACCCGCTAAAGCCCTTAGCCCCCAGTTCAAGCCATGGCTCAAACCACCAACTGTTGTTTTCCTTAGGGGTTGGGCGATTCAAGCCCTGGTTTGAACATGGGACTAAGCCCCTATTCTTGAAACATCCCTTCAACGGGAGCTTTTCACCACGAAAACGCCCGGGTCTGGTTTGGGGGTTGTCAAGCATATGGTCCTTTTTGGACCCCTGCGCTGCCGTTGAAAGGGATAGCCCCACTTGTTGAAACAGAATTTGCAGCGAAACCCCAGGTCTCCTCCGCCAATCGCCCGCCCAGCGCCACGCACATCCGGTTCTCCAGAAACTCCTCAGAAAAGAATCGAAACCACCCATCAAGGCCCAGTTGGGTGTGGCTTTTTTCAGAAATCTGTTTCGAGGTTGGGAAGTGGAAAAATATACTTGTTGAGTTGGGTTTTGGGAGTGGATTAAAGGATGGACAAACACGACTGTCCAAAATCATCTGAAGCACCCCGATACTTATAAATATTAGATTCATGGAAAATATATCATACAAGTGACCAATGTCACATTTCATCAATCAGGACATTACACCCGGAGATTCACTTTATATTTGTTGCCCATTAAGTGGGTGTCAATGCCTGGGGGGCCGAGAAAAAAATGTTACCCTGGCAACTACCAATCTTCACTTCGGATTAATGCGGAGGACACATCCGAGGAATGCCCCTAAAACGGACTAATCCTCCTCTACTTCGAATTCAGAAAAACGAACATCCGGAAACCGCGCCTTGGTGTAGAGCCCAGAATCCAGGCGATCTTCCGAGGGGGTGAAGATGGTCACACCACCCGCAGGTCCCCTGGGCACGATGCTGATCTTGGCGACGACGTCGTAGTCGTTCATCCTTGTGGCGCAAGCATCCTCCAAGATCCAACATACAGAACCACTATGAAACGAATCCTCAGAGCAGAGTTTAAGGTATGCTCCAAGGTTCTCAGACGACCCCTTCACAACATCTGGAACCCGCACGTTCTGTGGCCGCTCCACGGTGAAACAGCAGCACCAACCATTGTTCAGGATGGTACCAGGATTTGGTGCCGGCAGCGTTCAGCGGCTGCGTCCCACAAAAGCAGTCGGAAGCAAAAAGGGAAGAAACTGGGCCCGTGCCAAGAGTTGCTGAAGCTGCCAAGCATCAATGCTCCCAAGATAGCATGGCCAGCCTCGTGATAGGCCACCAACCGCTTTTTCTTCTCACTCATCACGGCCTGAGGCGGCTTGCGCCCGCCGACGCGAAACGTGGCAGTGTCCGGCGCGAGGTTCCATGACAGGCAAGGAGTATTGAAAATCATTGATAAAGATGTCAAGCGCGTATTGTGAGGTTCCATGAGAAACAAAAAACGAGATATGCACGTCACACAATTCATGTTGCTTCCGCAGATTCTCAGGCCTTGCAATTGCTGTTGGCGCAAAGAGGGTTGGCAGCTGGCAGCTTGTGACTTTTCTGGGACCCCCTACCAACTTTGTGGGTGTTCCCCAGTACAGTTTATAGCCACAGAAACCAGCTAAAAGACTGGGCCCCCATATTTGCTGAGAGCTGACTTGGGCCATGCAGACTGCCCAAAGCGCGATTCAAGAGGTTGCCAGCTGAAACAGGAATGTGAGCCATTGCCCTGGTTTTTGTTCGACATTGATTGAGTTCCCCAAATTTGGCGCTGGCTTGAAGGGCAGGTGTGACTGATGGCCAGGGCCATTGCAAGAAAAAATACATGTGCATCCATGTGACATCCTTTTTCTCCAAACCGATAGCGATCCTCTCCAGTGCGTTGGCAATGTCGTCCTGGTCAATCTCAGTCCTTAGAGTGTACAGCTGCATACCATATCTGAAACTAAAGAATGAGCAATCCGTCCATGTTTTCAGGGGTGGCTGCAGTCAGAGGTCTACTGATATTGTCATCATGTTCTGGCACGTCAAGCAGAAACCAACAAATGACACCTCCACAAGCTCGCGCTGTCAGAGATCAAAAACAAGTGCAAAGACCAAATTGACTCCTAGCCAGCCGACGACAGCCTCAAAGAGGCAACAACAACGGCGCGACAACCACACCAGCAATAACGAGGAGAAAGAGAATAATGATAATGATGCCAACCATGTCCAGGATGATAATGATCATGATGACGATCATGCTGATCGTCTTCGCGTGTAAACCTCCCCAAGCCATGGTCCAAAACCTGCAACCCAAAGGTCCCACCCAACATCCAAGGCACTTGTTCTCGCGTGCCGCCACGATGGCGCCCTCGTTCAGCAAATTCGCCAAATCTGCGCCGGACATGCCGGGGGTCATCCGAGCCACAGCCGTGAGATCCACGCCTGCCAAGGCGGCAGAAACGTGATGGTTGGGAGCATTGAAGCTTGCCAGGCGGGACTAAGACCCCCGCAAAAGTTCAATTGAGCTGGTGAACATGGAGAATGAAGGAGACCAAAGGGCAATGATTGGAAGGTGCTGGCAGGCTGAAGATCCCTACCCAAAAAGGAAGGGAGCGCCGGGTCCCCCAAGTTCATTTGAGTCCCAGAATCATGCGGAAGTAGAACCATGAAATTCTACCAAGTTCCATGTCTAAAGGGGCTTGGAGGATTGGAGGTGGCACCTTCAAAGATCTGAAAACGGGTCAGGAATCTGTTGGGAGGCATCTCCTCGTCGACCTCACTTGGATACTCAATGTGTCCAAGGTGAGCGTGCCCCATCTCATCCCCTTTAGTACGGTAGATGACAGTAAACATTGTCCATTGCTCTAGCATGCATCCGCAAAGTGGACCGATGCAAGGTATGCGGATGGATGTGTCCTGGTCTCCACCAAGTGCAGCATGGAGACACCATTGTAAATGACAAAATAGGCAAGGCTGCGCTTGAACCACGCTCCACCAACCAACGTGGAACCAGACTTGAGGACCCGAGAAGGCCGTTTTTTTCTCCGCAAGGACCCCTTGGTGGTTTCTATGTTGGTGGGTGGGAGGGTACGTGACGAAGGGCGGGGTGGGGGGGAACATTCTGGGGTGCGGCTCTAGTACAATTCTACGCTTCATTCCCAAGCACGTCTGCAAACATCTGCCTGGTGCCAGGTTCTTGCCCTTGGCATGAACCTTGAGGATCTCCTGGGCTCAACCCCTTCAAACCCCTGCCACCAGGCTCTCAGGAATGCCTGCTGTGCTCTTACGAAGTGAGGCCCGCGTTAAATTTCATGACCAACTTGGAGAGACATCCCCCAAAGACCGCTTTCTTTAGTCATGCATTTGTCTAGCCTGCAGGCAATGTATGTGTGTGTGTGTGTCTGTGCAGTGTCCTACCAGCTGTGGCAAGGCAAGAATGCAACCGCTTTAGCACCGCCTTTGCTCTCTGCAGGGCAGCAGGAACAGACAACTATTGGAATGCAATGAAGGCCAATACCATCATGCTCTTTTGAAGGATGCGAGTGGCCTGAAACAAAAAGTGATGCGCCTGATCCATCCTATCCGAGCCACAAAAGAACACCACACGTGCTGCAGTCTTCACATGTCACCAATCAGAGAGAGAGACTTGAAAGATCAAAAAATGCCTCCTCGAGTCACCGGTTCCAAACCCAAATATCCTTATTTCCAAGCCACAACAACTTCAAACATGACTTGTTTTGCAGAGATGTGTTGTTTTGCATGGCTTTGTTGCCAATTTGAAAGAGCTCAGCGCGAAAATGCCACCTATATCTCAATGTGTATGTACATATATATATATATATATATATATATATATATATATATATGTGTGTGCACTGTATATGTGCATTTGGGGCACTCCCAAGACTCTGTTTGCAACGGTCCCCCCTACTGCAAAAGCCGCAGATTCAGCACCCAGTGTGCAACTGGGACACCGTCCGGCCCTGAACGTCTGGGGGATCCACTTGGATTTGGCGGTCGAAACGCCCAGGTCGCACCAGCGCCTGGCAGCATGGAAAAGTATGCCGAAGGCAAATGGGTTTGTCCACATAAGGACACACTCAAAATTGGGTGGTTCCCCTTAGTTTCCCGAAAGCAACCTCGAAAAGGTACCCTCAAAAACCGAAAGACACTCAAAACTTGGTTTCAAGAAAACTATCGAGCACCGACCACTGCAACAAGCAAGTCCTGAAATGGCTGAGCTAGACGGAACTAATGCCTGCGCCAGGCCACGACTTGAACAAAACAAGCTGCCTGTTGTACAACAAGCCAAGATCAAAGTGTGCGACATCGGCTCGCAGAAGCGTTACCCTTCCCTGGAATCCATAGGGACTTAGCCAGCCCCTGCACAACCACCAGTAGGCTTGAGCTTGAACAAGCAGGCAGCACAAGTCAAACTACACCTAGATCACTCCACACTCCGATGCACCTGGTCCAGGATGTCTGCGCGGTTGGTGGCAGCGATGACCACCACGCCCTTGTTGGCCTCAAACCCGTCCATCCTGAGCCGCCCGCTTGCAGATACAAACTCTGGAGAAGGGCCAAACACTACGCGCGATCTATCTGCAACGTGGACACCTGGAATTGGCCCTTGTCAAGTTGCCATGTAGGCAATGGTCAATACTCCTCCAATACATGGGAAGTTGCGGTAGTCCCTCTAGTTTGTATGGTGACATTGTGAAGTCCCCTTATGTCCTCCGCGTGAAAATCATGCATTTCCAGCGTTCCATTTGGAGCAAGCCTGTGCCTGCCACATACAAGTATGCCTGGCGAATGCCTCCGGCAAGGCGTCTCACTCCAAATAGTTAATCTATCCAGAACAATTCAACCTGTCTAACACAATCTAGCGTACCTCCCACTGGACATCAAAAATCATGCCCATGTTCAGCGTTTGGGGGCGGAGCTGGCCGCCGCTGTCCAAAAAACCAACTCCAGCCCGAGCTGAGAAAGATGCAGGATCTACTGTTCTGACTAGTGAATAGTTCAGCTCTTCTTCTCAGGCCCAATGCGTAAACAAATGAGCATTCCATCGCTCAATTGCACTCCACTGACCCTTGTCGTGCATTACATGCTCGAAGTCTAATGCGCCATCTTGCATTAGAATCATTAGAACATCCCCTTGCCAAGAACATCAAGTTCTCCTTTTCCCAACAACCATGACAGAAGAATGGAGGATTTTGGCAGACCACTCTCATCTTAAAAAGGCTCCCCTTCCACTTCCCTTGGAAGAAAAAGGCATCGTGCCACGTCTTGCCCGGTACTAAAGGGCAAGGCACTCCGTGAGCAGTTGGTTCACCTGAGAAGCCCAGTGGATTTCCATGGGACGAAATATGGCGCCCTCTTGGTGGTTGATTTCAAAGGGAAACAACCTCCAAAAAATCAAACAAAAAGGCAACCCACTTAGCAGTTGGTTCACCGTCTGCTCCCTCTCATCGTTGCCCTGGCCAAAGCCGGCGCTGCGCTGGCGCCCCACGGCATCGATCTCATCGATGAAAATGATGCAGGGAGCAGACCTTCGGCCACCCAAACGAAAGACGGCAAGTTTCGCAATGCGACTCAAATTGTTGCGATGAGTTTCGCAAGCAAAGGGCAAACAGGCACAGTGTTGCTTTGTTTTTTTCTGAAAACAATGGCGGACCAGGTTGAGACACACTGCTTAGTTTGCAAACAAGAGTGAAGAAGGCAACCTTATTGTGCTCGACTATTGGTACACTATATGGGTTGACCGGTTGTTATGTATTGCTAAGGCCTCAGCATTGAGATCCTCCCCAAACTGACAATAGACTATGGATATGTTTGTCAGTTGCTCACAGCACCCTTGGCCATCGTGGCACAAACTGTCGACAACAATGTGCCACGACGACCCCTGCACTAGCCTTTCCAGCAACAGAGGTCAACAAGCCCTCCCAACTGCGATTGTTCGGCCTGAAACGCATCAGTCAGAATGCCTATCCAAATGATAGAAACAATGAACAGCGGTACTAAGCATTAAGCTCGGCGTTGACTGGACGAGCATCCAAAAAGTTGGAGAAAACGCCTACCTCCCTCCAAACACCACCGGCCAAAAGCCGGGCCGCTTCTTGGCTTGCTCGAAGAGGTCACGAACACGACTGGCGCCCACCCCGGCGAAGACCTCCACGAACTCCGAGGCAGCGATGCTGAAGAATGGCACCCCCGCCTTTCTAACGCACAGATCCGATGTGTCCGGGAAACTGTCTATGTGCAGACACTCATACAGGGGTACATAAGTATGTATACAGATTGTTTCACGTATGTGTAGACATGTGATTGACATATGGGTGCATACGCGTGCGACATGTACATTCAAATGCTCCAATTCCAAGACCAACTCGAAGGGGTCATCATTGGTGATGAATTGTGAGTACGGCCCGGCATACGCCCTTGGCAAGCGGCAAATCTGCAATTGTGACAGGCATTTGTCCGAAGCATCAGAGCTCACCCCTCTCCATGAATGTCCTGTTGGCAAGTGATCACAATCCCAAGCTGGTATTCAAGAGGTCCATCGAAGACCGTGTAAAGAACAAAAAGGGTGGCGGAACCTATTTCTGGGTGGGACTCCTTCATCTACCCGGCTTTCGATCGATGCTCGAGTGATGTGTGTGTGTGCTCTGGACGTCACGTTCAAAATCATGGTCTCAGCGTATGGAAGTGTTCATGAGTCACCCATGTCCCTGCCAAGTTGGCCAATTCGTACTGAATCCTGAATTTATTGAGCGACCCTCACACATTCACTTGTGTCTGTTTTTGCCTATGGTTGACGGCGCGCACCCCGCTCCCCTTTTCAAAGTTGTTGACGGTCCTTCCAACATGTTTTGCCACCAAGGGACCTGAAACTTCCAAAAATAAATGGGGAGCGCAAAGGTTTTGCAAGCGATAGCGAAAGACGAGCAGGATTTCGTCCGTCAACTATTGACCCTCAGCTAAGCCCACTGCCTGATTCTCCTACACAACGCCCAGAAAGGTGTTGAGATCTGAGCCTCGATTTTTTGTATGAAGATCACACTGTCAAGTGCAGTTTACTCCAACCGCCAACCCATCTAACCTCGCGGCCCGCGTGATTTCTGAAGCCATGGCCAAAGCTTCCTCCAGCCCCCCGCTCACGCCTCGCCGGCCACAGCCTTCGCCAGCAGTGTCTTGCCAGTTCCCGGGGGGCCCACCAGCAACGCACCCTTGGGAATCTTCGCGCCCAGCTCGGAGTATCTGAGAGTGTCAACCCACCAATGACTGCAACACCTAAAACAAACTCACGTGTAATCATTTCACAGTCAGAATCAGATCGTGAGTGTAGCCAAAACCCATGGCAACGAGTTAAACGTGCCTCTTGCCGCATCCTTTTGTTGTGGGTTGGGGTGGAAGTCGCCTAGTATTCACCTACCCCAGATTGAATCGCTGCACACAGCCAGATTCCCTCAAAATGCTGGCCTGGAGGTATTCTTCAGGAAGTCGACCACCTCCACCAATTCCTGCTTGGCGCCGTCGCAACCGGCGACATCCGCAAACTTGGTGCCCGTCTCTCCGTCCTTGGCAATACCTCAGCTGCACCAATCTGTTGCTTGGGTATGGGTGTGTCTCAAAACTAGGGGACCCCCCAAAATGGTTTCCTTGTCAAAAAGATGGTTGCTCCAAAAAGACACGCCCATACTCGAGCGTTCTCCGACGTTGACTATGAACTCATGGAATCACCTCTCTTCGTGCCCCTGTATCGCATATGTCTGCCTTTGCGAAACAAAACTAGTCAATCACTGTATCGTCCTTCCAGCTGGTGTGTTATCTCCTGTACCACTGGGAACAAGCGCATTCCAATCTATTGCTTGAATTGATGGGACTTCTTGAAGAATGCTGCTGTGGCTCTACACTCTGTGCCACACTCTGCACGAAAGCACTGCCGAAAAACAGCATCAGCTTCAAGCTTCCCTTCCACTAGATGCCAAGTCACGCGCCTTGGCTTTGCCCAACTCAAAGGGGTTCCCACCTGGAAAGCGGCGATACGAAATCCAGAATTCCTTTCGGTGTCTCGCTGCGTCCGCCAACCACTTTCACAGGAATTGAAAAGCTGTAGCCATTTGAAGAAATCCCCCAAGAAGCAAAACTATGGTCGGACTGTTTCTTACTTCAAGCAAGCCTTCAAGCCCCGCCTGGGCCACCTGGGCCGCCGGGGCCTGCAGGGCCGCCCAAGGGTCCGCCGAAGAGCAGCAGGAGACCAGCGATGAGCCAGGCCAAAGGACCGGCGAAGCTCCGCAGGAAGTCCAAGGGGGAGCCCTGGTTTTCTTGGGTGCAACATGTGTCACAACCAGACCCGTTTCGGCCCCCTCTCAAGGGAAATCAAAAAGAGTGGTTTGGGTTGGAACTTGTTGAAACAAGGGGTTGACCCAGCCCTGCCTCCTGGTTGGTCCCAACCACCACGTCAACCTGACGGATTAAAGATTGCGATTCATGGCTCGACATGTCAAAACTCCAGATCTGTGCCCTACCCGTCATGGCTGCAAGGAACAGGAATCCTTACCGCGGTCCGGACCCGGGTTGCCCGAACTCCCTTTTCAGCTGATGATCGTGCCTACCAACCCCGAATAAAGGCTCTTTCACGACGGTACGCTTGGCAAAAGCACTGTAAAGACGGGGGTCTGCATGGAATCCTCTTTCATGAATCACAAACACAGAGCCCAGTGAACAGGTTTCTTGACAAGCATGGCCAAGGCTGGCCTTCTTGTCAGCTAGCTGATTGAAGAGCTGATCCTCGATCTGTGCGTTGGGAATGAGGTTTACTTCACGACGAGAGCCGTCTTTGGTGGTGTACTGCGCAGAGACCATATCTTGCTGCACCCGGACCATCTCCACATCTCCCCTGTTCACTGACTCCAGGAAGTCGGAATAGTTCACCACATCAGCCGCCTGTGCTGGCTGCAGGGTCACCACGTTGCTCAGGAGCATCGCTGCCGCTGCGCTGGCGGCCCACCGCAGCTGGCCCTCCACACCGCTGCGCAGCGCCTGCTCCGCACCTTGCGCCACCTCCGCGAAGGCCTTCGCGCGCGCGGCCGGGGCTGTGGCCGACTGCGCCCTCTGCAGCTCGGCGGCAGCGAAGCTGCGCAACTCAAGCACCAGGCGCTGCAGCTGCTGAGGCGAGGGCCGCTGCAGCAGCTCTTGGGCAAGGGCGGTCAATTTGCTCAGCCCCTGCCACTGCTCCATGTCTGGCCGCGCAGCTACAACCGTGCGCCCTTTGGCCCGACGGGCACCCCTGGCACCTGCGCCAGCCATAGCTGCACCGGCCACGGCAGCACCGGCCACTGCGGAGCCTAGAGTTGGCTCAGATCGCATGGCCTGAGCGGCCTGAGCAGTCTGAAACGTCTGAGCCGATGTGCTGACCTGAGCCTGGCGGGGCACTCCGGGGGCAACGAACGCTGGGGCCATGAACATAGCCATTCCCCCGGCCAGCATCACACCCGTTGTGCGGCTCCCTGACATCTTGCTGCATACAGCCATGGCAAATACGCAACTGGTCTGGACGATGATTGTGCGCTCCACTTTCGAAAATTGTTTGAACCAAACGGCTGTGCACCATCAAATAAACATGTATTCCTTCATCAATTGGTAAAACCAACCAAACACAAAGCTGAATCCACCAGCAGATGCCTGCAGCATCAAGAGCGGGGAAACAAACACGCAGCCACCGGCAAGGTAATGTTTTCCAGCATCAAGACCGGAGAGAAAACCTTCTGCGCCAGCCCCCTAAGCCACCTGCGCGCGGCACACATGCTTGTATGCGCAGCACACCCACACAGACAAAGATACGCAAACACAGTGGAAGCAAGAGAGCATATATGCGTGCACACGAGGAACACACATGTGGGAACGCATGCGCAGCTGGAACACAATATTTTTGAGACGTGATCCCAATATTTAAATCAACAACAAATGTGTCCGCTTCTTTCTGGTGACCAAAACTCAAACATAGTGAACTTGAACAGTCGTGCAGCATCAGCCTGTCTGCACGGTCTGGTTGGCCGGTTGGCCAGGGTAACTTTGGTTGAACCAAGCCCTTCCGTGCCTGGTCTTGTCTGAAGAACTGTCTGGCAAGGGCAGACTAAACCCTCATCAATCAAAGAGGCTTTTAGAGTTGATAGAGGCTTCTCCGCCCATGCGCCAACTATGAGACCCCATCATGACAGCACCTTTCAAGCACGACTACTCCAGCGCAAGCTCTCTGAAATGCATGACTCCTCCTAACACAATCGCGCAGCTTTTCCGCATATGAGAGTACACAAAGGGAAGTCAAGCCGACCCAGCTGTACAATAGGCGACTCTTTCCTGCGAGGCGAATTCAACCTGGCCGGCTACTATCTTGACTTGGCAGGTCAGAAGCATGGCGTGAACTCGCGAAGTGGCATTGGAAGCATGCCATTCGGCCCTTCAAAATTGGGGCACAGCATTGGGATCTGAATTCAAATGTGCCGAAGATTGCTTGGACAGCTGAAACAAGCAGCTATCTCAAGTCTGCACTCGGAGAGCCTCTGATTCACTGATTGGGTTGCAAAGCTAAACTGCATCACGTCCGTGATCTCAAAGGCTCCCAAAACTGGAACTGGAGCCTGCAACTCATGAAAATTTGAACCTGTTCAAAGTATGTGAATGCATGCCAACTTTCGGGCAGAGTCACTCCTCCTTTTCCGGACTTCCAAGTTCCGGAAAAGGCACTTGCTTGGGCCAACTTTTGGGCCTCTCCAGTGCTCTGCTCAGACCGCCGTCAGCTTCTCCGGGACTGCGGTGTGCTCCTCCAAGATCTGCTTCAGCCTCTCTCCGGACATGGTCTCTACCTGCAAATGCGAAATGTTGTTTGCAAAGAGACAAACCGCATAGATTCCCGAGAGTGGTACGGGATGCTGATGCAATGCGTGTGTGTATATATATATATATGTGTATACTGTACGTACATGCGTGTGTGTGTGTGTGTGTGTGTCGCATCTGTTTCTGTGTCTCTGTCCTTCTCCATGTGTCTCTGTCTCTGTCCGTCTATCTGGCTGTCTCTGTCTGCCTGTCTGTCCGTCCGCCCGTCTGTCTGCCTGTCTGTCCGTCCGTCCGTCCGTCCGTCCGTCTTTCTGTATGTATGTGTGTTTGTGTGTATGTACGTAGGTACGTTGGTGCGAACGTACGTGCGTGCGTCATGTGCATATACGTGCATACATGTGCGTACTATATACATGCATGTATATAATTTACGTGGATCGGCATTTGCGGATATCTATGTATGTTTGGGTGTGTCATTCTTTGCCACAAATCTTGACAAATGAGAGGTAGGACGGCAGTTGTTGTCAAATGCTGTCCGGCAATCCCCAAGGACCTCTGCGATTCCGAGCGATCCCTCTGGCTGTCCGGCAATCCCTAAGGACCGCTGCGATTCCGAGCGATCCCTCTGGCAATCTCCAGCCAAACCTAAGCGAAACTTAGATCTTTCTAAAGCAGCCCTAAACCAGCCCTTGACAAATCCCAAACCAACCCTAAACCATCACGCAGCTTTCATTCAGGGTGTCCGTCATTTCTCTCCCACAAATGATTTATGCAACCGCGACAACACTTCGTCTATGGAATTGCGGAGCTACCGGAGCCCTTTGCACGGTACCCCTAATTTCCACTGGACTGTGAGGGATCCCTTCCTGCGCTCAACAGAATTTGCATTGTTTTCCCCCAATACTTCAACAGCAAATCAATGCAGGATTTGGAGTCTAACTTAGGGATTGCAACCAAAGAATGGCTATGAATTTCAATGGGGAGCACATTCAGCCATGAATGCCCATGTAAATGATCCTGGGCTAGCGGATCTTGCACATTTGGTGCCTCGCAAAGCTCCTGTGCAATCTTGTCCAAGACGGCCCGATGCTCGGCGAGCAGAGTTAGGGCCCTCAGGTAGCACCTCAGTGGCAAACCTGACCTGAGTATGAATCTGAATTGGTTAGATCCTTTGGTGGACAGCAGAAACCCATGGGGGTGTCCATCCACCACATGGTAGCGTATTCTCTATTGATATTCATAGCCACGAGTTTCCCGTCCACAAACATCCCGCCAGAGTTTCTCCATGGGTGTAAAACGTACACAGCACCGACACCTGTGGACACTGAGCTGTGTAAAATGCAGGGAGCGTCTGTTCTTTTGGGGAAGCCCTGAGTTCTGACAAGAGTTGTTCCCTCATGTTTCACAAGTGATATCATGTCCCACAAGACATTGTGTGTTTCTTCACAAGTCTCAAGACACTTGTGAGAAACGGGTGGGATTTGAAGAACAACAAGTGCGTTTAGGTTTAGGATGTTTAGGGTTGAGGTTTAGGGATTTAGGGCTTAGGCTTCGGTTTAGGTTTCGGGTTCTTCAGGTTTAGGTTTAGGGTTCGTAGGGTTTAGTTTTAGGGTTGCGGTTTAGGGTTTTAGGGCTTAGGTTTCGTGTCTTTAGGGTTTAGGTTGTGGTTTGGTTTGGGTTTAGGTTTAGGGTTTTTAGTGTCTAGTTTTGGGCTTTTGGGGTTTTGGTTGTGGGGGCCGGGTGTTTGAGGTTTAGATTTAGGGTTTTATGGTTTAGGATTGGGGCTTGGGTTTGGGTTTAGGCAAGAGCTCCCAACATCTGACCAGGCATTCCCGCTCTCACAGATTGAAAAAATGGAGACACGACTCGCGAGAAACGACTCGTGAGAAACGACTCGTGAGAAACGACTCGTGAGAAACGACTCGTGAGCAACGACTCGTGAGAAACCAGGAGATTTGACTTGTGAGAAGCGATTTGGGATGTTTGTTAACACACTCACACGCCAGGTCAATCTAAACTCCTGCTGTGGGTGCGAAATTGCTCAGAGGTTGATGACCGTGCGTGCCAACCCCAAGTCAAGTTGACATTGAACATGGCACAAATGTACTGTACAGCTTCCAAGTGTTGTACTTTCTGAGATCTACATTTCTACTGACGCCCCCCCAAGTAATTTTGAGAACTTAAACTACAACTTTAAGTGCCCCATGTCCGAGTTTCCCCCAATCCAAGCGGCTCATCCGAGATGGCCTTCACCGCCCCGTCGATCTCGCTGCTCAACGCCTCGGAGTAGCTCGGGCCCATCATGCCCCCCTCGTCGATGGCGATGGAGCCCACCTGGCATCGCGTTTTTTTTCCGGCTGTTTGCCAAAGAAACAAAAGCAAGCATACCATGGAGAATGCCAAGACCAACCAACAAGAGTCATGGTGGCAAAGGTGGCCCTGCACAAGGTGTTTAATGGTTGGGACCATCCGTACACTTGTGGGGTTACTCATGGACCGCAAATGACTTGACTCAAATGCCCAAGGGTTTTGGGTGTAATTCTAGGGTGAAGTGCGCAAAAGTCCTCGGGCTGGAATCGGAGAGGACGCTGCAGATTGCATTTCGGTCACTCCCACAAGCAACCACTGCCCAAGCTTCTGCAGCCCAGCACCATTGGAGGTGACAGCACATGTGCCAAAAAGTAGTCAGGGTATTCCAAATTTGACCAAGTGGCAAGTGTCGGGTAGAACCGCGTATTATCAATGGCTAGTAGGTGTTGTGGGCGCTGCTCGGGTGTGGACACCTTGTGGGGCTCAATGCTTGAGGTTATGAGCTCTCCCCCACCAAATGGCTGCCCGTTTCCCCTGGGGGTTGGGTCATTTCATGAAGGGAATAATCACTGAGTGGGGAATGTACCAGAAACAATGATGCAAATTCTACAGCTTGCCATAAAAAGAGGGAAGCGATCGTCCTACCCACGCAACTTCTCAGCGACGTTCCATGCCTGGGACATGCCGAACTGTGTGACCATGGCCCGGGCCATGCGTTCCACCTGGCGGGCCGAAGCAAAGCTGCACACATCTATGTCCCCGTGCAAAACAGAGCACTCTGATTTGGAAGTTGCTCTTTGTTCAGGGCCAAGCATTGCAAACAGGCACTGGAGGTCTGATATAAAGAGCAGCTGAGCTACCAAGATCCTGCAAATGAGCTATGTGCTGAGGCCAACCAGCTTGCCAGCTGATGTCGGGCTTGCCAAACTGGCTCTGCCGGCGTGCATAAATGGGCACGACCTGCTCCGGCAAAACTTACACACGCGCTCACACGTCAGGCGTGGGAAAGAGCAATCCAGCAACATGGATGCACAACTCCTCAGCTTCATTCCAAGATGCCCCCCATGCCAATTTCAGGAACAGGGGGCATGGAGCGTCCCAATTCTATTTTTAGTCTGCTCCAAGGCCTTGGAAGATGGGAGTTGAGTGGCATTATTTCTTCTCGACAAGGCCACAGATTCTGTCCCACTACAAGACCGTACGGGGACCTGTTGCTCAACTCTCAAAAGTATGTAGGTCTTTTACTTAGGTATCCCAGTAAAGCTTTGAAACTTCGAGACAAAATGCGTGAGTGTAATTGTGTTGCCTCGTCCAGGCCCAAATGAGGCATGCTCAAAATCACTGGGGAAAGTCGCTTCCGGTGTTGACATTGACCAAACCTATGGACCCCACGGATCGGAATCGCCTGCTGGAGGTCTCCGCTGGCCCCAGTGGTGACCTGGTCGGTGCCGAAGACCA